ACAAAAATACAACTTGCATTAACAGTACTATTATAGAGCGTCGCTGACTAGGGTTGTTTTTTTGTCGCCCATCATGAGAGTAGAGAGAGCATATTTCGTTGCTTGCTATACCCCTCTGATAAATGGCGTAATGGCGTCAAAAGTAAGGAGGGTCAATTAAGAACTGATACAGTCAGTAGAGATGGTGTAGATGGATCAGCGATAAATGCACTTAGACGATGGAAAAAGGAATGTCTTCTATTATTGACGATGGTGGCGAAGTATGTTTGAAAATCTTCTTATCCTTATAGTCAGTGGATCCAGCCTAACTCAATAATGGTGAGAACTGTTTGAAGGAGAAAAGAGTAATTTTTAAAAACTGCAATTCTTTTATTAATGAAGCAGATGAGCAATAATAAGAGTAACAGAATATCAAATTGATGCAAAATTTATGAATAAAAAACTGGTCAAAAGTCGAGTTAGATTTTTAATTAATTAACTAGTTTAAAAAATTTATTAGAGAACTGCCAAAGCTATGTGCAATAATAGCTATGGAATTATCGCATTATCGCATGATCAGAAAGAATCATGTCAACATCTCTCAAATCATCCTTAGTTAAATTCAGCTGCTTCACTATCGGCGAAGAAAGTTCGCGCTAAAAATCGATTTAATTATAGAGTAATAATAATAATAAATTTTTTTCAGTTGCATGCATATTTCTGGTTAAATTTGCTTCACCGACTTGTTGGGCCAAGTAAATTTCGCCAGGATATGCAGAAGATGGAAGTGAAAGTGATTCGTCAGCTTATGTAGCTTTATTCTTGCTACGAATAAAACTCAAATATTGGAGCCCCGGAATGAGACCCACTAGGCCGTTCTAGTAATATTATTAAAAAGTAATAATGATGATCATAATAGCGATAATAATGATAGTAATAGGAATAATTATAAAGACAATAAAGGTAGAAGTAATATTAATCTCATTGCTCTTGTTGATATTAATAATAATGACAATATTAATGATGATATAATAATAATAATTAATAATAATAATGACTTCTTTTTATTTACTATTTATTTTGATCTATTTATTTATTTAGCCAAAACTTTTTGATAGTTTCTTAAAGTTATCTCACTAAATTATTATATAATAAAGAAGAAGATTTAGTTTTAATGAGTGGTGCTTTCAAAGCGTTTTGCATTAACATTTCACCCTCTGATATTTTCTCAAGGCAGTTGTATCATTTAAAAAGTCACAACTAGTTTAATATTATGTTTCTTGCAAACCTGACATTCGTAAAACTTGAGATGAGATGAGTGCTAACGAAGAACTCTTCGAAAAGTCTTTGTTGAACAATTCGTCACATCAGCTAGGTTTCAAGAGATTTGGCAAAGTTTATAGGAACGAATATGGCTTTTAATTTTTCGAATCTTTAATGAATGAAAGAAATTATTTTCATTAAAATGGCTTTATTAAAATAAATATGGTTAGAGGATTTCAAATAAGATAGGAATCTGAAAAAATTCCGATTTTCAAAGTTTGTCGATAATATTCTTTTTATTCGTGTAAGTAATAGAATTTTGGTATTATAGTCAATAAAAAAACTCGATTCTCAATGAATTAATCGTAAGGAAATATTGAATTTATTGCTGAGAAATTTCAAAAATGGGTCCAATATTTCTGTTAACTAAATAGATTTATAGAACTAACCAATTTTCAATATTAAATTATATGAATAAATTTCATCTAAAATTTGACCAGGATACATGATAAGCATCATGATTCGATCACTGGCTCTGATAAAAATAACTCCATGAAGGACTAGGATAGTAGGATAGGTCAGATTGAAAACTCACTTTTATTTTCAAGAAATTCTGGCAAAGTTTTATACTAATAACCAGTGAAAAGGCTAGAAATGGTGAATGCTAAACTCTACTAACTCTAAATCTTACTTAAAATTTTCACAAATCGTTATATACACAATTCGAAATGCTGATAATATCTCATATGAACTAAAAACTTAAATTGAAGATAAAATTTTCACCTGTTTCCAATAATTTTTTGTCATTAAAAATATTATATAATGCAAATGAAAACGTAATGAAATGGTTAAATGAAAAATTACTTCGTTGAAGTTTGCTTTTTGAAATTCTGGGAGCCAATTTTCAAGAATAATTAAAAAAATATAATAAGAATTAAGATCTCTTAACGAGAAAAACCAATAGTTTAAAATGAAATTCGTGCTGTACCCCATGTCCACTTCTAACCTTAGAGTGAAAGATCACATTCTTAGTAGTCTGCAGCTACTAAACCAGAAATAACATTGTTATAAGGTGCTATAAGAAAAAAGAATTTTTTTCAAAGAGCTGATTACTGATGAAGACCATTACTGATTAGACTTGCTCCGCTGGCTTGTCACACTAGACAAATATGCCAGAGAATCCATTGGCGATAGAAGTAAAGATGAGTCACCAATATCATCTAGATTCTTGGACAGGTTTACTTCTGCGCAGAGAACCTCAGCTTCGGCGTTCCGAAAAAGGAATATCGAAAATCAATTAAATTTTTATTTTATTTTTAAATTTTAACTTTCTATGCAACTTGTTTATTTGCTTATTATTTTTTGAGATGCAAATCATTTCAGAAATTTGCATGCCCCGTGAATACAATTCACAAAAGTACTTTAAAGAAACGATTTTGAGATTTAATTTAATTTTAAATGAAAAGATGCCTTTAGCGGTTTTTATTTTCATTTAATTCGGAAAAAATCTGTAGGATGGCATGTGGCAGTGATTCTTTGCTTTTATGTTAACTTATGTTAACTTATGATATTAATAAAATTCTATGAGACTGGTAAGAATAATAAAAGTATTTTAACTTTTTACTATTCTTAATCGGTCCTTCTGAATATTCTAACGAAAGAATTTAAGCAAAATCAATGTTTATTTAAGATTTAAGAAGCAACGAAATGTGTCAAAATGAAGCACAAAATTTATGACTAATTGTTACTCAAAAATTTATAACCCATTTATATTATTATTAGCAATATTATTGCTGTATATAACTCTCAATACTGCAATATCACTGCAGGTATTTTTTCATTATAAGATATCTTGAAAAAAATCTTTTTAATTAGATCTACTATAATTACAATCTATTCAACCTGTACTAATTTTCAATGCTCCATGCACTTTGAAGAGTGCCTGAACAATAGACAAATTTAGAAACGGTTTCGAAAAATCTGCTTGGTTCAACACAATAATAAGCCAATTAGCACAACTTAAAATAAATGAAACAATTGTCAGCTAAAAAATAAGCATTTGAAATAAAATAGTTGATAAATCATCAAATAAATTATCATATTATCATCAAGTAAAATAGGGAGGACTAGAACTGAAACATCGAGGTAGGACTCGAAAACTTGCATTGCTTTTTCCAGAAACAGCGAATTCTGTGAAAAAAGTTCGAGTCCAACATCGCGGTTTTCCTGAAATCGCCAGAAAAGCAGAAAAATGAGGATATTAAAGAGGACCGCTATAATGATAAGATTGTATAGAAAATCCAGATTGACCAGAAGGGCCTAAATTAGTAATATGCGGAGAAAGACTATATCCTTGTGTATCAACTTTAAATTTGTCTTCTTTTGACATCATTGGATTTGGCGTAGTGGTGTAAAATGATGAAGATGATGTAGAAAATCGTGGAATTGACATATTACTTGACGGTTGTGGCATTAACTGTGGAAAGGGATGTTGCAATTGAGCCTAAAATTCAAAATTGTGCACTGAAAACAAGCAAAGAAGTGGCGATTAGCATATGAATTAGTTGCTGTCCAGAATCAACTAAATATTCCATTTACAAGGCTTTGAAAACGATTAAAACTTTAAAAAAAAAGGTTAAAAGAATGTCATAAGGAGTCACTAATCTTTTTCGTACATCAGATTCCTTTGGCAACATGGGTGTATTCTTCTTAGCATAAAATGTTTATTAAATGTATTAAATAAGGTGAGGATTACAGTGGAAAAGTAAGGCGATTTGAAAATTTCAAATGTTTCTATGATAAAAGTTAGAAGTACAGTTGCCATTAATGATTGAAAGCAAGACCAAATTCCAGTCAGAAGCGGTGGAAATAGCGATGGATTTCCACTTTAAAATTTGAGTTTTCCTATGAATTTCCTAAGGATGGCAAATTTAAAATTAACTCCTAACACAAAGAAGAACTATGACTAATCGTATTTTCTTATATTATGGAAGGAAGACTTGAAAAAAAAAACAATATAAACCTGCGATTTCAATGTCCATCCAAATGCAGAATTTGAATTCCGAGTCGGGTAGCCTTGCCAAGATGAGGCACCATACATATCATCCAGCTTTAATAATTTTTTAATTTTTAATTGCTCATAATTGATGATATGCATTTTGTTGTCGCGAAACAGAGAAGGCAAAAGGCTAATTGAGGTCATGGAAAATGGAAAATGGATTGAAACCAGCATTTGCCTTGTTAACAAATTAATCGCCGATCAATCAAGTGAAAAGAAGGTTGGCAAGGCAATTTTCATGAGTACAGAATGGTGTCTAATAGTTTAGAGGCATGCTAAAATAGCGAACCAAAGCAAGATTTAAAAAATACAAGATGATGACACCCATCAAAAAAACCAGGAGGGTCAATTGACTACAGAAAAAATACAAAAAAAATCCAATAATATCAACTTCATGAAATACATAAGAGCCCTGCAGGCGGAGCCCAAAAAGGAGTGGAAGTGGACCGACCCTAAAGTAGCTTTTTGCTTTCGCCGTTTTGCGACAATTAATGAATCGCCATTTGCCTTTTCATTATCGTAAAATTGATTAAATAAATTTCTAAAAAAAATGAAATTGTCAAAACAGACCTGCGAATGTGGTGAGAGTAAAGCTCCAGGTAACGTTGAAGGTAAAGTTCCTGGTAAACAGTTTGTTGGCTGGAAATTCTTAAATTCTGGTGTAACGAAATGTCGTTCACGCTTGCGCCACTTTGCCCTTCGATTTTTGAACCATACCTGAGAATTAGCTAATAGCTTTATGTAAATACATATATCCTATTAATGGCTGTATATTTAGGTGATGCCGGTGGCTTACCTGCATCCAACTGGCCTAATAGCGAAGTTTATCTAGTCCGACAAACCAGTGGGATAACTAGAATGGTGAGACCTCTTAGAAAAAATATATATTGAATTGACTGTTTGATTACAAACATCGACAATTGCATCTCTTTTTTTCTTCTAAAACATTCACCATTTGTATGGCGAAATTCCATCGCTTGACAATAGAAATGGCTCAATGGTGGCGGATGTTTTACTCTAAATAGGTTTATTCTAGTCATGAGAAAAGAATCAAACCTATGTTCCTTGGCCTTCGCCGAAGTAGCCATTATTATATCTATTGTTTAATGATTATATAAACAAATAATATTAAAAAATTGCTCTCGTTTCTCTCGTTTTTGTTTTGATGAATTCAAATGGTAAAGAAGGATTTTGGTTGCAAATAGCGTCTATATATTAAAATGATGCTAGAAAGCTTATAACAGCTCGGAAAATAAGAAATATAGCCAGAAAAATGATATTTCAAAATAAAATCGTTTGGAGAGGCAAATTATGATATTATAAATTTGATCTCTCTAAAACTATCTCAAAAATATTTTCATTTTCAGTTCAGTTTAAAAGCCCTTTAGCGATTCAACTATGAACTGAAACAATGCAATTTTTAAAGAAAAAAAATTTCAACAAATTCGAACAAGCTTCGTGCTGCATCAATGGCAAAATGTTTGCCACCGAATCGAGAGTGGCTCTGAATCGAATCTAATCAAACAATCACGATTCGACGTGCCAACATCGGGGAAAATGAAAGTAGATAGAACAGCTTAAGCCGTTGCTGAATTTGGAGGGCCGACGCTAAATTTATCTTTCCTGGTGATGTTGGCGACTCACTTGTATTTCTGTCGTCTCCAAGGCAAAATTTGCCTGTTGCGACAAGCCAGTGGAGCAAGCTTAACGAGAAATAATGAAGGCACTGAAAAATGTACGCTGCAAATATACATGGACTTTCATTTAGTGGATTAATTTCTTGAGATGTGATTTCATTTGAGTCATTTCAATTATTATTTTATCATTTCAATTAAAATTATCATTTCAATTAAAAAAATTATTATAATATCTTTTACATTCTTATTGGATTATTCGACATACACTTTGAAATAAAGATTACAGGAGCCGTCACTATGAGGTCTTTCATTTATTAATAGAATCTTACCCACTATGGAGGAAACTGCTTAAACTGTGGTGAAAAGTAAAATCGGTACTTTATAGAGCCACCAGTATTAATCTTTTCGTGAAATTTCTACTTTATTTCATTTTTTATTTAGTATTCATTCAAAGTTCATATATACGCACTATGTTTGCTTATCTTTCTAATTCACCGTAAATGGTTATGAAGTCTAAAATTTTTTCTAAACTTTCCTATAGCTTTTTATAGCTTTAACTGAGTTTTTCTCTTCAGAATTATCGAAATTAATGATTAATTTGATTAAACAAACTTTTATTATATAAAACGATTAGTATTCTAATCCCATTTCAGTATGTAATGTGCTTAATCCTACCGTTTCTCTCTCTTGAATGCTTTCATTCCACCGTAGTTTGCAATTCAAGCGGAACAATAATTATGTTTCATCAAAATATTATATCTTTTATGTTAGTCGCTTTTATTAAAAAATACTCAATCTATTTAACAGCAATAATGGAAAATGATAGTAATAAATTATGTGGAAATCATTTTAAAGAAAGGCTGAAAATGGAGTTATATGTTCCGTAAACTGGACTTTTATTTATACTTTGTAGATTTATATCGACTAATAACATGCAACATTTCTCTACTGACCCTATTCGTTACCAGGCGTCATTAATGCGCATTTTGCTAGAGAGGTAAATAGACTGAATTATAGGTGAGCCCGTAACAATCACTCGCGTTCTATTTTTAACAGATTTTCTCCTGTAAAAAAATTGGTATTGTTCGCTTGTCCTCAGCCGATGCAACGTACGATTTAATGCGAGTCATCTAACTTGTGTATCAGGATTAATTCGCCTTCATAAGAACATATGCCTTGTTGTAATTTTTAAGGATCGATATTATCATACAACCAAAATATTTAGAAGTGTTAATTAGAATTTGGGAAACAAATCACTTTTCTCTTCAGTATTCATTCATTTCTCATCTCTTCATTCGATCTTTCTTCATGCGATACTCTTGAGAATACCTCCCATTACTTGCAAAATGCTAGTAATCTTAGTAATTAACATTTTTAATTTTCCTATTTTCTCATATATGACAATAAATAGCGAATCAGTTTTCTATAAATTTAAAAATGCGCTTCATTAAAAAAGTTTTAGAAATCAACAATAATTCAAATTTTCAGCAATTTCATTTAACTCATTTCAATATGAATACATTAAAAAATTTGATTTAATCTGTAATATAGCTTACAACAAGTGGACGAGTGATTTTCGTTAAATCGCTGGAAGAAGGTTGTTATGAACAATTCATAATTAGTGTATCTATATTCCTCCAGCACTTTCAAACTGTAGTTAATATATTTGAATTTTTTGAAAAAATTCAAAATTTATAATCGAATGAAGTATGTAACCAAAATATTAGAATGTGCTAATTAGGATAATTAGGATTTGGGAAACAATTCACTTTTTTTTATTATGGTTCAATATCAAAAAAATCATCATATTCAAAATTTTTATCTATTAAACTGAGATTTGATGATTAGCCTTGTGGTATGTATCCTTATTTGATAATCTGCACTTTGAAAATAAAGATTGCAGGAATAGTAAATCGTTACAAGGTCGTTTTTTATTTATTAATAGAATCTTACCCGCACTCGCGGTTCAGTCAAACTGATCCAAAGTGCAATTTCTTCTCTAGTAGCCATGTCTGGGTATCTGTTACGAGCGAACCAGTTTTCCAGTTCAGTTAGCTGTGAAAATTTGATTTAATAAATGAAAGTGAATTTTGGTCACCTGTGGCCATCAAATTAATATTAATAAAGGATTTATTGAAGAAGAAAGGATTTATTAAAGGATTCATTTGATTGATTAAGAGGAAAGAAAGGAAAGATTTATAGATGCATGATTATTTACAAAATATATGTTTACAAAGTTTCACAAAAACAAGCGTAATTAAAAGACACCTGATGACTTGTGAAATGTGTTCTTTGCCTGCGAGGTTTTTGATTACTTATAAGACATGTTTGAGGCGAATCAATCGGTTTCTGATCGCAGTCAATCGAAGCATTCTGCTTGATGTCATAATCATCGCGCAAGATTTCCACTAAAATTTTTCGTTCAATAAGTAATCGAAATTCTTAAAATTAGAAAATTTTAGTTCCCTTCTTTACCTAAAATATGGTGAAATATTCAAGTTAGTTTCAATAATTTCGTAAAGCATATAAATTTAAAAATTAATTTTTACTTGCAACAAGTGCAAAAGATAACTGATATGTGAGCAATTATAATAAGTGGTACAAAAAAATTGTTACGTTTTGGAAGTTTTGCAGCAATATTATTTGAAGAATCATTGTGTTGGCCAGTTGTATCGTTTTGCATCCGATAAATTTCATGCTCAGAAGTGGAAAAAACACTTGATGATGGACTAATAGGTGCTGGACAAATCGCACTATTCGTTGGTTTGAGCTGAATATTATCTAGCGAATTGGTCCCATAAAGTATACTATTATTGGTTGCAGACGTGTCGAGAGCCGATACGTTGTTTGTTGCAAGGTGATTTGGAAAACTGGCTAAATTTTGATGATTTGTATCTAAATCCATCCACTGAAGCTTACTGAGCTCACGCGGATTATTTTAAACATTTATTTTAGCCAGGAAATAATTTACTAATTCCACTGATATAATAGACATAATAATAATGAACAAAGGGAAAGCCACAGCTTTAAAAATCCTTCGGATTATAGAATAGCGCTGACAATGATGAAAACAGCTTTATAGGGCTATGCGCTTGATCCAGCCTGGCTTTATTGAAGGCTATTTCCTATAAACCTTAGAAAATAAGATTCATTCCACATCCAAGAAGTTAACTGGTCAGTCACTAGCACTACGGTACTAGTGGCGACGCCCATTTTTCAAATGCTATTTTTCACATTCAGTACGGTTTCTTAATTATTTTTGTCCCTAGAATTGTTTATTTAACTTTGTTATAAAAATTAATTTTATCATAATTGAACTGCTCAAATAAATTATAATAAATTTGTCTAGTGGAGAACAATACTAATGCTGAAATTATTTCTAAATAGTATATATAATTGGAATTATTTATATGGTCACAATTTCATAATATTAAGTGTATTTTGGGTTTTTACTGGTTCTTGTAACAGGATAGCCGAATGGATAATGGTTCAGATTATCTTACAGAGAGATAAGGCTCGCCACGAAAGTATAGCTTAATAGGAGTAAACTTTAAAAAAAATCCAACCTTGGCAAAGATTTGTAATCTTATTAATATAGTGAGCTTAGTCAGGTACTTATCCACTTACTTTGCACAGTGATTTCAGCCAATTTTCTATGAAAGAATAATTCTGTAAATTTTTTTTTTCAAGTGTTTGGCTGAAATATAATCGTTTAAATATTATTATCATCCAGAATTGTAGAAAAATTTTCTAGAATTTTTTAGATCATGAGAATTTATTGCAACGACAAAATGAAAGTTTAATTTTGCTGCAAAGCCTCTAATGAACTTCTTTTTTAAATTTCGTCATGCAGCTTAAACTATCGCGATGGCTTTGAGAACATCATGCGGTTACCTATCTGAATCGATCGGTTTAAAAACCATGCAAAATATTTAGGAAAAAATATGATGGAAAATAAAGCATTTAAACAAACTCTCTTAACTATTAGGTTAGACTATTATATATAAATTTACATTTTATTTGTTTGATTCCATTTAATCTTTTTCATTTCTTGAAATGCGATAAACTTTTAAGAAATCTGCCTCGTCACCACTGACCTTTCGTTTGAATCCATTTGTTAACGTTAGTTTATTCTGAATACGAGGCTGGTCACCAGATTAAGCTGGTTTGTTTATTTCACTCAATTTCCAAAGATCGATTCCTTCCAAAAATCTACGATAGATTTAGACGGATGAAATGAGTCGAATATAATTTAGTTTATTCTTGTTAGCTCTATTTTTTATTTCTCCCTTTGTGATTCGTTTTATCCAGTTGATGCGTTTTATGCAAAGTTCTTTATGTAGAGAGATAAGGCTTGCCACAAAAATATAGTTTAATAGTTCTTTTCACAATAAGTGCAAATCATTTTAAATGCATGCATGCAAATTCATTGCAAGATAGCTTGCACGAACTTCAGAAACAGTAAATTTCATTTTAAAAAATTGTCAAAATTTTATGGAGCAAAGAAAATTTTTGACATATATTTGACATATATCTATCAGCCACTGAGTCAGCTTGTTAACATTTAGCTTTTTCCGATTATCTACCAATTTGTTTTAAAATCTAAATCATAAACGAAAGCGCCGCTTAAGAAATTTACTTTATCTTAAGCTCGATCTTCTAAAACGACATATTTATCAAAATAAAATTCGCGCATATCGTTCATGCTACGACCATATGGCTTAGTCGCTGCCTAACTGCCAATTTTATGCAATAATAATTATTGCATCATCAAAAAGGATACAGAAGTTCCCGCAATCATGCAATTAATCAAGCGGAAAGAAATCAATATTATATATGCCAAGACGAGAAGTGTCTCTGATAGTTAAATCGAGCTGAGCTTTACGGAAAACTTTGGAGGGATGAATAATTCTAAGCTTCCAAAAATTTTTTTTGGTTATCTCAGCAAGAAATTACCTTTCAATTCAAATTTGTTTAGGAAAATTTGCTAAATTTTCAATTTAAATGAAGTTCAATTCAAATGAAGTCAAATTTTTCAAAATCTTTTCTACACTGAATTTTAAATCACAGTTTTATATAATGCACCCTTCATATTTTTCATCCAATATATTTACTTTCTGTTAATTGAAAATGCGAATTCACACGAACATTAAGCGAAAAATAAAGGTGAAAAGTGAAAAAAACATTACAACTAAAAATGGCACCATGAATAGCCAATAAACGAATTGCCTTCAAAAACGAAAATAATCGATGACTATATGTAATATTTTTTATTTGTTTTAAAATATTTCCTTTAAAATTCTTTCTGTTTACTCAGAAAGTAAGCAAGCAAAGTTAAGAATGCCATAAGAATGCTCGCATTCAGCAACATCAAATAAAAACGCGATAAATAAAATATTTAATAAATATTTTTTGAAAAAAACAGAGTAATATCGATTATTGTTGTAAACAGGGATAAAATAGGAGTAGCAAAGAAATCAAAACGGGGAAAAAACAGTTATATTCATCCTATAATAGGAACGAGGCTTCGATTTTAGATATTGTAAAAGAAGTTTTTCAATATCAGTTTTCATAAAACAGGCAATTTTCTCATTGTTTTACTTAACGTGGATTTCAACGGTTCATAAGTATACCAAATAAATTTCTTTGAGAAACTTTTGGGACATAGCGAATCGTTAATGACAATCTAAAAACAAAAAACAAAAAAAAATTATTTTAAAAAATAAGAAATTGAAAAAAAAATCCTCAGTTTTAAATACCTCTTTTACTATAATTTCAAAAGACGATAATCTATGAATATTTCGAAGCTGAAAACAAGAATACCTCAGTTCCCTTTTTATTTCTCTGCCAAGTTCGAGGCCAGCTATATTTCGATTAAAAACTTTATCAGTGATTTGATCCACTAGCCTATCATCGATTCCATGTAAATAGTGGGAATATGCTTCATCGCTTAAGAGAACAAGACTACGGCGTTGAAGAAACATAGATCCGACATATCTCGATCCTTTTGATATAGTAACCTTAATATGAACAGAAATACTTTTTGAAACGCTCATTTTCGTAAAGAAAGTCAAAAAAGAGATAAACAATCAAATATTTTTCCCAAATGCTTTTTCTTTGCACTTTTATCCTAAAATTTTTAAAGGATTTGTAAATAAGTCTATTATACAACGCTGTAAATGCCTATTTAAAATTAATTAATTAAATTAGTTGAAAGTCAGCATTTATTTCTAAAAACGCCATGAAAATTTGATATCATTAGCGAATTCATTTATTTTCCTAATTTATTTATTTTCAAGATGCAAAATTTCTCGCTAAAAAAATAAAGCTAAACTAAGCTAAATTTTAATTTTTAATGTATGAATTATAGTAGAAACTTGCCATATCTGATTTGCTTAACTGCAATTGTAAGATTGAAATCTTTTTATTAGAAAGCCACTACAATTACTTTCAACCTTCACTCCTACAAAGGGAAAAGGATGAGTCCAGGCTCTTAATTCTCAGAAGCGAATTTCTCTTCTTCTTGCTCTTCAATAGCTTAAATTTATTTAAGTTTAAAAAAATTTAAGTTTATTGACGAATTTAATGAGTAAATAAAAATACCTCTGTATTCAATGGATGATAATAATCAATAAGCAAATCACTACCAAGAGAAATAGTTGCCACTAATGGATAAAATGCTGGTCCGTCAGTATGCGCCTAAATTCATTTTATTTGTGTATATTCATATATTTTAATATATGTGTTATTTTGTATATGTTATATATGTTCAGATTTTATTATTTTATTATATATGTTCATAGATTAATAAATATTCGCATAAAATTATTTATAACCCATGTCAAGAAATATTACCAGTCAGAAGATTTTTATAAACCAGGTTTAATACTAGCATTAATAATAATACTACTATTGCTTGATTTTTATTATCATTAAATCTGCAACTTCTGCATTTAGAATAAAAAAAGTAGATAATTAACCAATGAACTGAATTTTCGGTCCAAGAATCACACAAAAATAAAATATAAAAGTGAAGATTCAACAATTCAACTGGAAAAAGTTAATGTTTAACCTACTTTTAGAAATCTCATTGATTTTTAAATTTTCTAACCATGATTCCTTGCCCTGGTTGGTACTCATTAATTAGAATATGATTAGGCCGATTTTCAGGTTGAAATGTATCGGCAAGAGACATTAGTTTATCGATCGCAAAAGAAATCCACTAAAAATATAAAGATAGATTATAGAGTAAATTGAAATGGAAATTTAAAAATATTTCCATGTTGATAAGATGTTATCTCACCACATCTCTGAGAAAATTTGCAACAGAAAAGCAAAAAGAACAGAACTTTTGGTATATTATTATCTGGTATAAGCATTTTTTTACCAACAACACCACCCCAATTTTGCAGCCTTCGATGAGATAACTGTTGCCACTTTGGCTTCGGTGCTGCGTAGATTTCAGATAAGAATAATTGCTCTTCTTCAATGGTGATAAAGTTCGGAATATATCGGATTGTTGGAGGTGCCTGCAAAATGTAAATGAAAAGAATAAAACTTGGAAAAACAGTAATGTGGCTCAGGAAAAGAAACTACTGCGCACTATTTTTCATTTCTAGATAAGAGATCAAAAGATCAAAAAACAAACTGCACGTGTAATAAATTCATTGGCTGATACACCAGTCCATAAATGAGCAATTTCGTCTTTACCACGGTGATCGTCGCTTTCGCATGGCAGTTCCATGAATGATAAATTCTACGACAAAGATTTGAATAAAGCAGATGCCTGAAACATAATTAGCGCTAGCAATATAACAAAATTTATAAATAGGCAATCATTCTAAATGTAACTAATGAAACCGATCTTTACATTATATTTCAAAAAATGCAAAAAGACAATCAAATGTTTCGTTATCCCTAACAACCATTCTTCCAACCAATAATCGAAATTATTCTCGTATAAAAATTTGCAAAAAAGTAATATGTGAATCAAAGATACAATATTACGAATATAAAAAAACATATCATTACTAATACATGAATCATACATGAATCATGAATCATGAATTACAAATTAAAAATTTTATTGAAATATTCAAAACTTTCGAATATTTATAATAAAAAAAAGGAACCAATTTATCAAAAAACAATGGCAATAAGGTAATCAACGATAATTTCAAACAAAATAGGACATAAACAAAATTAATTTTGAGTAATTTTATTGAACTTACGAGAATGGATATAAAAAAAGGTGTCCACACAGATTTCACTTCTATGGACAAAGTCTCTCACACCAAAGTGTAGAAACCGAACCCGTAGTGCAATATAACAACTACAGAACAAAGGTCAACCACCTCGTTCCTTTTTTCGTATAGAGCTGATATCCCGGAAAAAAAACCAAGCCAAGTGCTATAAGACCAAGTAAAACTAATAACGATAAATTTTACACTCACACGCACTTCTTTTTCTTCTAACTTCTCTCACTATTACTGGTTAGGCCGGCTCCAACGGCTACAAGGGTAAGACGCTTCCAAGCAGCGCAGTTTGATGATATCGTCGACAGTAATGAAAGCCATTCCATTTCCCATCGTCTAAGTCCATATATTGCTGTTCCACCTATACGTTAAAAAATCTTTTCTCACCGTATTAATCCAAGTCTTGATTGGCCCACCTCACTTTTGATGCCAACCATCACACGGTTTAGCAAATACTCACACGCACATGAAAGATAAAAATTAAATAATTCAAAACGCCAATCAAATTAACCGGAATATCAGGATACTACAGATGACAACGGATGAATCAATTTTTTCAAACAATTTTTTCCTTATAAACCTTAAGCCTTAAATACAAAATTTCCAATAAAAAAAACAAATAAATTATCAGTTACGATATAACAAAATCATGATAAATCGAGAGACCAGATAGGCAAAGAATTCCCCTAAATATAATCGAAATCCTATGAATTCGTATATAAATTGATTTACAAATTCATTTACTTCATATAATATAATTTAGAAATAATCACACAATGACAGTGGAGGCCGGAATAATATTTATAAACTTTAAATAATAATTTAACATACTATAAAAACAGTATAATATAAGGAAAAAAGTATCATAAGCCAGCCAGCTGTAATACTTGTTCACAAACTTTTTTGTACAAAAACGCATCACCACATAATCGTTTTCGTTTAACTCCAACCAATTTTTCTTTATTTCCTAGTTCGATCATGAGGATTTCTAATTCTACCGTCATTACACGCCCGAATTCATCTCTTTTCCTTCCTGATAGTTTCCATCTGAAATCAAAAATCAAAATAATTATATTCAAAATCTATCGCAATAGAAACTAAGGACTTACATTAAAACATTGAAAATCAATAGCGAAACGACTTAATTAAATAAATTTATTTAAGCATTTCTTAATAATTTCGAAATTCGATGAATAAAAATTGATAAAATTTTAATATTTTACCCATGCTGTTCCGTAATGATATTTTGTTCATTAAACACCCTCAAAAGTTCACAGCGCACAATTTCAGGATTTTTAGATGACGTGATTGAAATGTTCACCATAGTCTACAAAATTTCTTTCTCACGAATCTTTATAAATTTTTCTTTTTTTGGGCAAAAGAATTAAGCAAACAAGATATATATATATATATATATATATTTATTTATTTATTTGATATAAAGAATTAAGTAAAGATAAGAAAATAACAAAATAACAGCGAAATTTAAGATAAATGAATTAAAGAATTCAACAATAACCTTTGCTTGTTTTAATACATTGGGTGAAGGATTTTTCACCTTTTTAGGAGTGAGTAAATTAATCATTTTATCAGCTTGTCGTTCTAGTGAAGCAAATACGCGTTGTTTCAAACGTGGTGTTTTTATAGCAGATCTGGATAAACGATTTTTAATTTTGAACTTGGGAGTCACTTGTACTTGCACTTCACTACGTTCCAAAGAATGAGGTCTGCAATGGAAATCTCTTAAGAATCATGTTAAATTACTTTAAATTACCCAAATCATTTAAAAATTACTTGAATATCTGACACATTTCATTTCAAATTGATTAATCAAATTGAACTAGAATACGATTAATAAACTAAGAATATTATTTCAGTAAAACATTTTATTTAAATCAATAAAAAATAAATACCTAGAATCTGACAAAATATTTTTACACGTGCCTGTTTGCGAAGCATAAAGACTACTTTTCGGCCGATCACCAATAACCTTAAATTCCTTGTGGAGTTTGGTATAAATAACTTTTCATTACAATCTATATTAGGAAAGTGACCTGGCTCAGATATCCGTTCTATAAATCATTAAACCAATCCTCAGAGGACTATCATGCGAACTGCTCTGACATCATAGCCAGCAAAAGAACTTGTCGTTAAAGTAGAAAGGTAAGAGGAAATGAATCCAAAATTTTTATTTAATTTACCATGACAGGTTCTTGGATCTTGGGCGAATCAAGAAAATCTTTGGTAGTTTCGCAGGGACGATGGTAAATATTTTTATCGAAACCAATGTTTACCTACAATATTTTTTCCATCATTTATTTTTTGGATTTTTGTACAAAAAACAGCAGTAATGCAATTTACAAGAATAATGCAAGAACAATTAAAATATAGGAAATCCAACTTTTTGCCTCGGATAGTATCGCAGAGGAGTAACACATGATGGCAAACCACTATTTGAGAATGAAGGAACGAATCTGTGAATAATAGATCCTTTATATTGTCGAGCAATTACACCTGCATAAATGACTGGAGTGTTCAGCAGACCAAATGTTGAGGAATGTTGATCAATTGACGTAGATAAAAAAATATTTTTCTGCAAGGAAAAAATTAGAAAAAAAAATGATTTCAAAAAAATTAAAAAATGCCAATAATACTTTAGTAATTGATGGAGTAGTAAATGCAGTGGCAAAACTTTCATCGTTATTTCCATTCATGTCACAACCTTGAATTTTAACAGCATCATGGAGGTTTTCTGAAGAAGCTTCATAAAAATCATCATTATCCAATCCTGACTTATTCAATTCATCATCCAGTGAAGCGTGGATTGTAGGTGACGAAAGTAAATTTCTTCGCATTTCTGTCTGAAAAAGTTTTGTTTGGAATGAACAATTCTATTGAGAATTACAAACTAAAATCAGAAAAAAAGATCAGTATATACAAGTATACAAGTTATATATATAAGTTAACATAAACATTAAAAAATAAAATGCTTCCTAACCAAATCCAACAAAACTCGTCCTTCATCTCACATTGAATTTTAACTCATTGAAAACTGAATTAAGGTTAAAACTGTGACAAAAATTGAAAATCTTTTGTAATACAACAGATGGAAAAAGAACCTTAGCACCACTTATTTTACATGGAGGCAATGCAAATTTGATACTTTTCCGTTTTAACTGCAGAAGTATAAGGTATGTGGCTGTATAATAGTCGAATTTCCACTAAAATTATGAAACATTTAAACAAAAATAGATCAGAAATTTAAACTTCTTGTTAAATAAAAAATTTTTCGAGCCAAATTTTAAAATATCAGATTTTTTTGCAGCATACTTCTTTGATCATTTCTTCCACAATTTTCGTTGTTAAACCTAAATGGTGGGCCAATTCGACAATAATTTCCTCATCGACCACATTTTTCTAAAATAAGAAAAAGCAAGAGAATAATGAAAAACAAAACTGAAATAATTAATAAATAAAAGGGCAAAATCTTAAAGAAGATATATATGAAGATATTCACTGAATGACTAAAAAAAATTTTTATTTCACAAATAAATTTTAAATAAAAAATAAAATTCACGTCATAAATTGATTTCCATTTTAAGGTTTGAGAATATTTCTTATTAATCCAGGGATGCATAATCAATTCTTCCAATGTTAATCGACGTTTAGGAACCACTTGAAGAAGAGAGCGCAACAATTCCTTGCTAGAATCACTCAAGTAATCTGGCTCATAATAAACACCACGCTAAATTCGAATATATATGAAATTTTACATTTATGAAAGCATTAAGTAATTAAAAAATCAAAACATACTAAAATTTTTTTATACAAACGTGATAAATCATCATCTTCAAACGGAAGTGAACCGCATAATAAAGTATAAAGTAACACTCCCATTGACCAAACATCTGCTTCATTTCCAAAATAACGACGACCCTATAAATTTAAAACTTTTAAAATATATTATGATAGAACTATTTAAACAATAATGAAGCGACAAATGAAAAACTGAAAAAAGAAATAAACTTGTAAAAGTTCCGGAGCTGCATATGCAGGTGACCCACAGCATGTTGCCAATGTACAACTTAAACCACTTTCTGGTCGAGCACAGAGACCGAAATCAATTAATTTCAAGTGCAATTCATCCGTAAGCAACAAATTTTCCTTAAAAAAAAAACATCTTTCTACTGTTATCGAAAGGAATGAGTATCTAGAAATGAGTATTTGGAAAAAGATTTAAAACAGTAAGTATCAAGATTTTTTAAAATCTTGATTTTTTAAAAGATTTTTAAGAAGAAACAAACTGGTTTTAAATCGCGATGAGCAAAACCCATACTGTGCATATAAGCTACTGCTTGCACAAGTTGTCGAAAGAAATGTCTTGCTTCCGATTCTTCTAATCTTTCCTTTTTAACAATATAATCGAAAAGTTCACCACCACTACAGTGCTAAATAAAATTTCTAAATCAGCAGAAGAATAAAAAAATTTAAGTGGAACGAATATTATAATTTTACGCATTAAATAAATTTACAAATTTTTTTAAAGAATTTTTGAATTTTTTTTCGCAATGGTGAAGCATTTCATAAGTTGAAATAGTTGAAAATAAAAAATCAGCTAAAATAAACGAAATTTTGAAAAATATTATTGTTTGAATTATTAACTAGCTGATTTAAATAAAAGCAAAATAAAATGAGTCAAAGAAGAATAACTCAATTTATCATCAAAATCTAAGAAAATCTTTAAGGATATTGACAAAACAAATATATTGCAATAAAATAATTTGACCAAAAAGATGAAGGAAGAGACTGTGTGACTTACTTCCATTATGATGTAAACTTTATCCTCGGTTTCAATATACTGATAAAGACGACAAATGTTTTGATGCGACAAAGCTTTTAATGCATCTATCTCAGTTTTCACACGCGGCAAATCCTTCTGAAATAAAACAAAATAATTAGAAATAATAAACAAATAACAAAAAAAGAAAAAGCGTGCAAATGATCGAAGATTTAAATTCCGAGGAACTTAAATAAAAAACATCATTAATCAGTGGCAACAGACAAAAAAGAATGGCAGAAGAACGAGAAATTGTGATGATCTATGGACTCGCACTTCGGTGCTCTTTTCTTTACCGAATACATCACGAAATCGACCAAAAAAAGCATCACAACTTGCTTTGCCGCAAAGATCTTGAATTCCGATCGCACAAGAACAAGAGAAGCATGTTTAAGAAACAAGGGAAAAGAGCGTTTCATACATATAGCCGCATTTTAAGCGCAGCAAATGAGCGTTTTCATACATATAGCCGCATTTTAAGCGCAGCAAATGCTTAAGAAATTGTGCAGAAAAAGAGAAAAAAACATGAAAAAAACATTAGTTTTAGAATTTAATAAAAATATAACAAACACTAAATAAAAATGGAAACAATTATATACAAAAGAAAAGAAAATCGAAGAGAGAAAGTCTGCAAAAAATGGTGAAAAAAAGCTTACGTTAAAAAGAAACTTAAAAAATGCGAAGACTTACGCCAATGGCCTTTTTATCAATTATTTTTATGGCAACGTTCTGATTTGTAAGTAAATGAACCGCCAGTTTAACTTTACCGAATCCACCTGAACCGATTTCATCAACGAATGAATACAGCCCGTCTAAAGCTGAATGTTTCGAAGGAACAGAGTTATCATACATCGATTCCTCGTCCATCACCGCGAAATTCTGCAACAAAAAATATGATCAACAGTTTGCCACTGGTGAACCGATGCGCTGCATACAAGAAGACGGCCATTTCTTCTTATTCAGCACTTCCTCACCGACAATTTATTCATTTCATCGCGTCTCTTATACTCTAACGCTAATACGCTTCACTGCGCAGTTATATTTATCCGATCTAAAATTTTGACAGTTTCTCCCCTCCCCTTTCGATTAATTTTTCACACCATCACCAGTCTGCCAGTGTAACAGTCAATTAATAAACAATATTAATATGGATGAGAAGCAAATTAGAAATTTGCTCATTAAATATTAGAAATTCTCATAAAAATTTTAGAATTTCGCGAGAAATTTAATAATCGACGTTTGAAATCGTTAGAAAAAAAAGAAAAAATTGACTGAACATGTGAAAAATTAAGCAGAAATCATTCAGCTCTAGACGGCTCTAACTAAAGAAAACTTAAAATTTCCCTGAAAAGGGACTTCCTTGCCGAATATTTAGCAGTCAGAGCACACGCAAATTACTTCAGACGAAGCGTCCAGCGTTCAACTTCCCCCAACGCAAGTCACATTTCTTCTACATATGATGAACAAATTTCAAAAATTGGCGCACTAACATTCCCCTCAAGAAATTGTGGCAGCTGGTGCTATGGATAGAGATTGCGGCCCTTGGTTCTTATTTTCAGCAGTCTTCTTCTTCTAACAGCTCTCCATTAGTGGTTAGGCTGGCTCCAACGGCTACAAGGGTAAGACGCTTCCAAGCGGCGCGGTCTGATGCCATCATCGACAGTAATAGAACCATTCCTTTTCCGATCGTCTAAGTCCATATATTGCTGGTCTATCTATATGTCCAAAATGTTTTCTAACTGTATCAGTCTTGATTGCCCCCTTCCTCGCTTTTCACGCCAACCATCACAGCAAGTTCAGAAAGTAACGAAATATGCGTCAAATCCTGTGGTGGACGACGGAAAAGATGCCTTAACCAGCGAACGCAACTCTCTAAGATAACATTATTAATGCAGGTGGTATTTGAGCGAAGGTGGATGCAGTCATGTGATATTTTATCCGTTCGACGGACACGTAAAATGTACCTTAGATAAGAGTGGTCAAAAGTAGATAGCGTCTTAATATCCTCCACTCTCACTGGCCATATAGCAAGGTCGAACGAATCACAGCTACATAGTACGGAATTTCGTTTTTATGGTGATATCACGACTCCATAAAGGTTTCGTCAACCGGAAGAATTCATTGCTGTCTAGCTACCGTGATCCTGGTTATAATATCGTTGTATTTAAATTGATCTTGAGTTCAATTCTTGCTACAGTTTCTGACACGTTATTTAGCATTACTTGTATTTCGTCATAACTGTCAGCAAAAAGCAAAATATCATCAGCGTATTAAAGATCGGTGATACGATGCTCTGGACTGATTTGGATACCTTTTGAATGCCAACAAGCGGTGTCCATTATCCAATCTATCGCATAGTTGAATATTGTAGGATCACAACCTTGACGGGCAGTTCTTATTTCGAAGGGTTCTACCCCATACACACGGACCAATGTACGCTGATAAAATACTTTCATGTGTCGAATGTTCTCTGGAACACCGTGTCGCGTTCCATCACTCTCCAAATCGCCGCTCTATCAATTGAATCAAAGGCAATCAAAGCACAAAGTTGATAAACAAGTGGCAGTGGGTTGCATATATTTGAAGCGATGTTCGAACACCATTCTTAACGTAAATATTTGGCCATAACCGCGCCCCGGTCTGAATACAGCTTGATTGCATCCTTCTGCCGTATTTCTATAAATCCATTTTCAGCAATATTTTCAGCAATATTGAGAATAAAAGCAATGAGCTGATATTTACTTGTAACATCATTAATGCTTGAGTTATGTCCATATAAGCAATTGATAGAGTTTATCAATAGCAAAGAAAAAAAATTTTAGAATAATTCAACTGCAGACAGCAGTAAAAGACTATAAAAACGGTCGATCTTCCAGTACTTCAGTAATAATAGTTCGCAATGATAGGCAACAGCGACTTCTACAAATTAACCTGTCATAATGAAACGGAATGCTTAATCATAAGGAAGGAGCCAACACCTTAGACAAACGTGATCAAAGAAAAATCAGAAGAACATTCTCATTGAGCTAAAAAGTAAGAAAATTACCTTATTTGTTGAAAATATTTTTACGATTAGATTAGATGATAAAAAAAATGGAGCAATTATGATTTTAAATTTTATATAATCCACCGTAGAATTTTTCTAATAACAGTCATCATTCCATGTTTGATTGGCTTTACTGACGACTACTGGAGTGAAAATTTTATACACTGTCAGCTTGAGGGAAAAGTAATGATAAGCCTTCAGCTTCTTCTGTATTTCATGATTCTTGAATCCATGCTGCAAATAACATATTTCATGGATCATATATTGTTGTAAATTGCAAATACAAACTTAAAATTATAGCAATTTCATTACTGGTTAATAAAGTGCAAAATTGGCGAGAAAAAAAGATGAGCGCACAGCTCGATCTGTATTTTGCTTTTAATCTCTTAACCACTTTTTTCATGCCTAATCTAAGAATAATCTGCAGTATGCATATTTTCATTGCAAACTACTGAATTCAAATTTAAGATGGTATAAATGGTAAAGGTATATTCATTTCCGCTGATAATTACTAATTAAACAATGAAATAATGAAAACTTACAGATTAAATGAGTTATTTAAAACCAAAATTAGGTACTAAGAATTCTGATGCTCTTAAGGATTTTTCAGCAAATTTTTTTGTCTTTCTATTTTATTTCATCCGACTTAATGGGTCGATTTTCTGAAGAGTTCTTAAAAAAAATAATAGAAAAGTCACAGAAATATTTTAATAAAATTCCTTATATCCCATAATATTATAAAATCATTTGGCACTTGCTGATTATTTACTTCATGAGAATTTCTTTCCAAAGTAAGAATCAAATTTTCTTTACATAAATTGCAATTTTATTAAATAAATAAAATCATCTATAAGATGGCAGCCGGATTACGCGAATTTATATTCTCACACGAAATGCGTTTCAAATTTTTTCCAGGATTTGCTAAAATTTTAAGGTGCAAAATAATTATTCAGTATCTTTTTGTAATCGCATCTTATTTGGTAACGCGCCTACGAAAGGATATGCATTTGCATGTTTTTTTTTTTCTCTGCCATGATGAAACTAACAGTTAACTAATTTTCTCGACTAGAAGAGGAATTTTATTGCTACATGAGTGAAGTTAACTGCTAAAAGAAACCTGTTTAAAACATCGTATATTTCGTTGTATTTTGCAAAACATTTGCCAAAATGATAGTAGAAAATCTAAATCCAACGTTAGCAGTCAGTCTGTCTTTTGAAGATGCAATTGTAGGTTGCCCAACACCACCCGAATTTCACTTTTAACCACAGGATATATATTCTCTCCAGAAAATCAGGTTCTTTGACCTTCAATCGAAATAATATACCACTCGATCATCCTGCTTTTTTCCTTAATATCCAAGGCGAAATAATAGGCTGCTAAATAAGATACTTCTGCCTTATCAGACAAAGGCAGAAGTATCTTATTTAGCAGCCTACATCGCCTATAGAACAGCCATAAATATTCGAAATTATGCGTATACAAATTTTTGGAAATTTGTCTTATTTAACAGGTTATAAATACATACACACGAATGATCTACGTAATCTTGAGATATTCCTCTAAGAATTTCAATATTAAAGTAGAATAATTATAGAAATGATGGAATATAACTGACAATATCACGAAATTTTAGCCATTCGCAATAAATATAAACTTTTATAATAATAATAACAATAATTTTTAAGAACATCATTTGTAGCGCAAAAAAAACCGCAATCAGTTTGATGCTTTCCTCATTTCATACGATATTTATTCTCAAGTTGTCGTTCATTTTTGATATTAAAGAATTTGTAAAATCTTCTTTCGAACAAAGCAAGCGTTAATTCGAGTTCCAAGGAATTTTATTCGAGATTTTCACAATATTAAGCCCAAATTTGCCGCAGAATCGCGCAGTTCTAAAATTAGCACCAATTTACTTATTTATGCCCAGTTGAATAAATCTTTTTAAAGTTTAAATTCCAATTAAAAAGAAGAGAAAAGAAATTTCTAGCCTTGGACTGTTTTCAGAAATTATATTTTGTGCATTCTTTATAGAACCTTTCCATTATTTTCAGATAAACATACTTAGAATTGCATTGTAGATCTTTTTTCTCGCACCCATTGTTGAAACACCGATATCACGAAGATTCTGCTCATCGAGCAATAGAAAAGCTTCCATATCGATCTATATTGTAAAAATAAGGTGAATGGTCATAATACGGACCTTCATACAAAGCTGATCTTACAGGAATATTAAGCTTTAATTCCACTGATTTTCACTAGCTAGGACATAAATGAGCTAAAACAAAATCGATGAGGAGAATTAATCATAAATTTTATGATAACCGCGTCAAATTTCAAAGTTTATTCCAACTTTAAAGAAGTAAGATCAATTTGTGTGCTCAATTTGTATTGCTCAATTTCTCTAATTTTTACAAAATTTTCTTGCTATTAAATTTAAGAAAGTGAATTTGTATTTGGCATTTTAAGTATATTTTAAGCAAATGTAGTTTTTTTAAACCTCTTGTTCCCGAAATCTCGCTAAGTATTCGCTGCAGCCCAACTGAGATAGTACCATCGCTGGATCGACAAATATCCTAATATCCCAGATAGCATCACTTCGGGGAGATGACTCGAAAATTCCTGTTGACGCCGAAAAATCTACAAAAATCTTAAAGCTACTTTATAAGCTACCTCAGTTATGAGTAATAAATAATTAATGAAATTTTTTTTCGGTCTGAAGCGAAAAGTTTTTGCGAAGTTTCCGGTAAAATTATAATAAGCAAATATTTTTGAGGTTTACTCAGAAGAATGTTTCACCTCTCCGTTTGGGTCTTATATTTATTGGTTGATTTATTTGCATAAGATGGAAATTGTGGGACGATGATGATGCAGCTAACAAATCTGAACTTGAACTTAGACTATTATGATGAAGATCGCCAAATTCATCTTCTTCAAGAACCGAAGCCAAGCCAGCGAATGGAGGCAATGATAACTTAAAGGTAATTTAAATTTAAACATATTAAGTCATCCTTGAAAGGCTTACAGTACTTATGTTTTCTAAAGGTACAATAATTTATTTGCACTCAATCAGCTCTGGTCGGATCCTTTTGGTTTTGAAATTTAATTATTTTAGCTAATTTTTCAACATGAGATTATTTTCCATAACGAAACATATTTTTAAATCATGGTTAAATTTAAAAATACTACCGACGTTTCGTTATCAGTTGAAAGCATATTGTAATAATCGCAGTGATTAGTAAATGAATTTTCTGGCATATCGAATTCAGTTTTGAGAATTTCTGCAGGTAATGAATTGCTAAAACCATATCCCGACCAAAGATCTGTTGGCTGACACATTTTGGCTGGGTTTCCATCATATACAGCTAAAAATTTTGATACTTTTCACATTTCCCAATAACCTATGCCATCTCATCTAAAAGCGTTCACCATTTCTAATTGGGCTAGCTCTTATGACTGTTATGGTTTCACCAGAAAATCATTTGGAGATATAAATACAGAGTCTCCAGTACCTGCCAAGATCTATGCCACTGCAACGGCAAGTACTTTTACCCCTTAGAAGACTCGTTTTTCAGACTTTTAATAAATAAGATTCTTCCATTCCTAGAAATTATTTGCGAATGAACAGCAAGGTATTGCTTTGATTAAGATGAAAAAATGACACTCCTGAGAAATTTTTAACTTACCACGATTTGCTTTAAGCAACAATTGTTCTCTAGTCTCATTTTGTTGCCGAGTACTGAAATTTAAAGTCGGCTGAGTCATAATATATTAACTATATCTATTTTAAATATAATTAAATATCTGATGTAATTCTATATTTTCGATCAAATTTTCCCTAGATTTCTGCTATCTCATCTTAAAGAAAAGAAAAGTGATAAAACAAAAAAACTAAATATTGCTAGTATTATTCAAGGAAACGTTTACTTATGAGCGAGATTTAGCCGTTTTACACCTTCAAGTAATGAATGAGCAAGAGGTGAATCGTTTGGATCTGGTGTTACAGATACCATATGATCCTAGGAATTAACGACAAATTATAAATCTCAGCTATGGTAATTTTTGCTTGTTTTTTTTAAAATTTGCTAGATTATAGACTAGATTTTAGCCTAACCTCATCACTTTTAAGGAAGTCAAGTGAGGTTAACTGTAATTGATTATGATCCACAGACTGTATGCATGAAAATTGCATTCCATCATTATTGATAATTTGATAATTTGCTAGTGTTGAGCTAATTTCATTGTTACCTAAATAATTTCAAAAATTTATAATTTATTTCAAAAATAATCAAAAAAATTCAATAAATCAAAAAGAGGGAGAAAGAACCAATTTATTCAATAGAACTGCAGTAATTCGAGTATAGAGGACGCCATATTACTCTTAATACTCTTCATAATACTTTTTGTCAAATGGTTATACTTGAGATTTTGCTGGCTCTACTGATTACAACATCAAGATTTTTTACCCGAATCACATGATGAAAAGAATAGATGACTAACCTATATCAGGTGAATGAATTTCATTTTTAACGATAGATTTATTCTCGACTGCTCCCAAATTATTAAATAGGGCACTTAACCATTTAAAATCATGTAGATAGTTTGGATATATGGCCTTCCCTTTGAATCAGTGCCAAATTAATATTCTAAGAGACTTACCATCTTGCTTTCTTTTGAAAGTATTTAAAGACTCGACACTTTCATATCGCAAAATGTTCATGAGCTTGCATAGTCTTCCAGGTTTTAAATCTTTAAATGCATCCATGTCACCATATATATATTCATCTGTTTTTAATATTTTAATTCTAGCTTGGTACATTTGAAATAAGTTCATTTCAATGCCATTTAATACAACGTACTGAAAAAATTGCAAATTTTTGGGAGGAAATAGACTTTCTAAATCTAAAAAACAAAATAAAATTTCTTTCAGTCATCGAAATGAGTCGATAGTACTTCAAAAACCAAATTTACCGATATATTTCCAATGTTTCTATTAGTCCTTTGACCCTCATTGATATTCACCCCATATTCAGCTTTGATCATAGCTTTATCGATTATCTCATTTTCTGAATCAACGATTCGATCAAAATGGATCGCAACGGGTAATAAACCCTAAAATTTAATGCGGAGAAAGGACTGCAAAAATGGTGCTTAGTGATATTTAATTAACAGAATTTTAATCACAAATAGAAATTAACAAATTTTAAACTTTTGATAATTTGAATTTTAACCTTTTAAACTTTTGAATTTTTAAACTTTTTGAATTTAATCAAAAAATTTAAAAAGGAACTTTATATATAAGGTTTATATATTATACATTATTATATATATTATACATTATATATATTAAATAAAACAAATAAAACAACAAAACTTACTATAATAAATCTTCTTGCAATAAGGACACCAACGATGCGACCAACAATGAGCAATTCAAAATCTACACTGCTAAGCGATGAATAAAAGATCTGCGTTGATGTTTCTTCGGCAAGCCGTTGCAGATCTTCCCTCTTTTCTTCATTCATTAACGAATGATGGGCATTAATGATCGTGTGACAAACAAATTCAGTATCAACATTCAACTGGAATTTTTTAATTTAGTGAATAAAACTTTTTAAAAAAATTTCTACGGCTGAAGATTATAAAATCTTGTTAGTTTTTTATTTCAATCTCAAAATTCAATATTATTTTTTTATTCCAAAACAATATCCACGTTTTTTCATTTCTTTATTTATATTTATGTATATATTTTATTTTCATTTTATTATTATTTTATTATTATTTATTATTATATATTTTTATTTTTATGTATATATATTTTAATAATAAAACAGTAGATTATAAAATAAGAAAAATTTAAAGAAAACTGCGAGACTCGACAAAATGGAATATATAAATAATATATAAATAAATCACGGAAATATCGAAAATTTCATACTAAAAGTCAATGGAGCTAACCTAAGTAAAAATGGTTCGTATTAACCATTCTCGACTATAAGGTAGTAATAACTCAGATGATCATACTGAGATTAAGGAACCTGCCTTCGATGGCCTACATGTACTTCTATCGTCGAGTGATCCTGGCAAAAATTTTTAATTTTGCTTACAACTAAAATTAAGATCCTAATCTGAAACTATGAGCGGTAATCACTCATTTTTATCGCATATATTTCTATTTAATATGTTTATTTTTTAAACCAGAGTGTGGCTGGGCAGAAAAAAGTACTATAATTAAACAAGTAACTGAGCTATTAATAATTTCTTTTGCAACATTTTATTGTTGTACCTTGATTGCAAATGTTATTGTGCATTGTAAAAAGTATAGAAATCATTAAGAAAATAAAAAAAGTGAAGGTACGAATTTCAGAAAAAAACAAACCATATTTTTCTCTTGTTGCTGCATTCCTTCCAACATACTAATAACATACAAGTGTAAGTAGGCATTTAAGAAAGCTATGAGAAAAAAATGAGATTTCTATCCTCAAATGACTCCTTAGCAAAAATTTCTAATCATATTAACAGGAACTAATCAATTGAGAAAAGATGAAAGCAAACCACTTATTTGTATCACAAAATAATTATAAAGTAGCAAATTGTTAGTGAAAAAGTAAAAAAACCAATTACCTGCTCTTTACATATTTCTGTGAGGGCGATGGACGCTTGAACCATATTTTTCTCTTGTTGCTGCGTTCCTTTCAACATACAAACAATTCCATCATTTTCATTTTCGCGAAAAGTTATGAATAAATCAAATTTTTTAAGTTTTTTTTGTATATTTTGCAATTCGCAGCGTTCAATACGAGGTAGATCAAATGAAATACAGAGCGGTGAAAGTTCCTCAAATATATCGTTGAAAAAAATAAAAGGCTGTTTAAATATGTAGGGCTGCCAGTTATCATATATGCAGCTGGAATAATGTTAGAAGAAAAATGGCATGGAGGCTGCCAATGTGAAGATGAGAAAAATGCAATTTTTTTTAAGATTTTCGCAAATTTTAATCTTTTAATTCTGCTACCTTAACTTTCAGTCTTGATGTTATCAAATGTCACGCATCGAAAATTTTCAGGTTTTTCAGCAAATAATATAAAACAATTGAAAATTAAAAATAATTTTTTTCTTTTCTTGAGATGGATTTTAACAAAAATTTTCTGACCAACCCTCAATTTTTGTCGCGCTTTTTCCACTTGTTTTACAGGTCCTGATATTGACACCTAAAATTAGGAACCACTCTTTATTATTTTTATTGTCTTTATTATTTTTAAGAGCATTCATTATTCCCTGTTAAACTCGGCTGCGTTGGCTTGTTCAGCTAGACGAATATGCCAGGGAATCCTTTGGGGATATATGGACTAAGTCGCTAGCACCACCCTGATTTCTGGACAGATTTACTCCTGCCGGAGGAGTGCAATTTCGGCATCTGCGCTCCGAATTGTACAACAACCAACTGAGCTATTTTACTCTAACCTTGCTTTTCTCCATTAGGTAGCAGTTTCGTGAAGAAGGGTAATGAGTGGACAGAATCGAACCAGACCTTAGATTCTCTATGGCAATCATTGAGCCGCTGACGTACCTCTCCGTGTTATTAATAAGTGATTATTAATAAGTGTTAATTTTGTGAGCAGAAATTACGATAAAATTTTTTCAGTTGTCTTGAATTTGGAGAGAAATTGAGAAATGTTTAACAACTCAAATTGTTAAATGAACTGGATTAATTGGTTTACCAAGATGCTGTCAACTCTTTTAAACTGTAGTCTTCAGAATGAAACCTGATTATTTTTAGAAAGTGATTTATTGCAATCTGGAAAATGAATATGGCATGAGGTTTCGCGCATTATTTCTTGTGTGTTTTTGCCTTTGCGACCGATTATTTTCGAATGCTCAGCATGAAAAATTTCAATTCTGAGGGATATTCGATCTCGCTGCAATTATCATAAAAAATTGGCCTAGAAATAAATTGCTACATTAATTTCTAAATTGACAAAATAAAATAAAATTCGGCAGAAATTCTGCAACCTTAACTTTCAGCCTTGATGTTATCAATTGTCGTGCACTGTTAACTTCATCAGGAGTACCGAAAATCTTTACATATGGATCTGAAAAAATAATGTCATTGTTATTTTGTTTTCTTGGAACTCAGTTTTAAGATATTCAATCTCACTGCAGTTTTTTTAAAATTCTCGCAAATTTTAATTTTTAAAAAAATCAATTTGTTTCTCTTTATTGATCTTTACTAATTAATTTAATCTTTATTAATTCTTTTATTTTTATTAATTTTAAGATATTAAACATTAGGCAATAAGTTTTCTAAAATATGATTTGAAAATTTAAAAAAACTTAGGTAATTATAAATGACTTGAAAACACCTTTTTTGGTTTTAGCACCAATTTTAAGACGACTTGGCCATGATATTAGAGCACCGGATAGTTCACTTACCTGGAACTTGTTTACCATTCTAACTTTAATATAAAATTTATTGACTGAATGAATGTGGGAATTCCTATTTGTGTGAGAAGATAGTCATTATTTGATACAATATAGAAAAATGAAAAAAAAAAATATTTCGATGCAGTTTTTTTTTAACGATAATTTTTAAATATACTCATTAATCATCTATGGAGAAGTTCTGGGATTTCATTTATTATTTAAGGTAAAATTTTTTAAAGATTTACTGCTTTGAAAGGGTATGGTTTCTTCGACTAGGTTTAGTTTAGTTCCTTGTTTAATTCCTTTAGTTCCTTGATCCATATTTTAACCTTATCATTGAAAGATTTTGGCTACCCAATTTGCAATTTCATTTCATTTTATGATTTGCTAGCGAAGAGATTCCTCTCCGTTAGTCAGTAGTGCTGCGATCAAGAATGGACGGATATGATTTAGAAATTAAATGCTAATGGATCCTTAAAAGTCTACCTAAAATTACTTTTCTTTTGAACTTTTCAAATTTGATGTAAAAAGTTTTTTGCAAATAAAGCTGGTAAATTAATAGCAAATCAAACATTCATGAATGATTAGCGACAAAATACCTTCATATTCCATCTTCTATGTTCTTAAAATTTGTATAATCATTGAAACTACAATATAATATATGAGAAGTCTCTAAAAAATTTTTGTGCGTTATTTGCGTGGTTCTTATAGATTTTTTATTTAATGGTACTTGATAATGATGGTAATCAACTGTAGTTATTAGGCTAAAAAATGAAATTCTTATTATTTATTAATTTATCAGCTTTATTTGAAAAAAATACATCAGATATGAAAAATTCAAAAAAAATGTGATTTTAAGTTAGGCAGACTTTTAAGGATCCAGTGAGTGTTTTGCTAAAAGTCAATATTACGTGCAAGAAGAAACTCTTTTATATTTGCATTCAAACATCAAAAATTTATAGGATTTTTCAAATTATAAAGTATTAACCTTGGCGAAAAATTCCTCTGCTAGAGGCAAATGCGTGTTAGACCCGTATAACGGCTTACCTGCAATATTCTTTACATTTTAATTAACATAACGGCATAGCGATTTGATATTCGAGTTCACTGTGCTTTTTTGTACAATGAAATAATTTTTTTTAAGTTCTATGATTTAACACCATTAGAAATAAGATTGTCCTTTAAAACCAGACGCCCATTCATTGTTGGAAACAGTGGTACTAAAAAGGATTGCTTTGTATTTTGCTGCTAGTAGCTATGCTAAAGATTATAGTCGAAATAAATCTTAAATATATTTGTAGAAATATTATTTTCAAACATTAAATCCGTGAATTTTTCCATATTTATAGGTTCAGTAGGGAGATGTAATTTGATTAACTGTAAAGAAGAACTACGGTAATGCAGAAATTTTTTTTCGGCAAAATTTGACGAAAACGGAAAATTTGAATAGTTAATTGATGGCTATTTCTTTTTTTTCAGTTTTTTAACCATTATCATTGTGTGATAATCACGCACTTACATAACTTTCCTATTTTTACTTATAAAACATATCGCGTCAATTTATCAATACGCCATGGATAGACGAACCCGTAATCATAGCTTCGAGTCGTTTTCGATCCACTTGTATTTGTTCTTCTATATGACCATCACTGATGACATTTTCGGCAGAATGATTACATTTTTCATCGGATTCTCGACTCTGACTCATTTGATATATCCTGAGTTCACAAAACTAATTATATGTTGAAATGCAATTACAGTTCAATATATGTTTAATTTTAATTCAAATTCGCATGCTTGGGAAGCCTCCTAATGAAGTTAGTTTAATCCGTAAGGAAAATTTCTTGAGTCCAAAAATTTCGCTGCAAATTATTTTAAAATGTCGCAAATGGCAGCAGTGAAAATATTTGTTATTACTTGCCATTTAATATTTGATATTGATAATCTAAAGTTTTGGTTATAAAGTAGAACATCAAAGTAATATTGATGATGAAACAATGGAACGATGGAAGAATCTAAGTGAAATCATTTCGATAAAGAATTTCCCACAATTTCTAAAGTTGAAGCGAACCAATCATTAGTTTCTTGTTTTCACGAAAAAAAATATCGCTTTTCTTTAACATCCATTAATTTTATTTTTTTAAGAGTCCTCACCAGTATTGGTTAAGCTCGCTCCACTGGCTTGTCACATTGAGTAATATGGCAGGGAGTACCCTGGCAACAGAAATGCAGGTGAGTCGCCAACATCACCCGGATTTTTGTAGAGGTTTACTCCTGCGAACCTCAGCACCGGCGCTCCCGATGGAGCAACAACCCACTGAGCCATTCAATCCCTAGCATCCATTATTAAATATGATATAACCTATAGCAATTTATTATGCACTAAAATAATTTAATCTTTTTACCAGCAATATACTTTAAAAACTTCAGATTTAATTTTATAAAGTATTTGTGTAATAGTACATTACTTTTGTATATGATCACTATGTTGTGATCTTGAATAATTCGAATTAATTGAATTTCTTTTCTCCAAACGTTTCGTTTGCGAAAAAATATTGTGGTTATTCTATCCGCGAATTTATTCGCCAAACTAGTTTATATATTTTAGAGGTAAAAATAAAAAGTAATGAAATTGAATGACATTTAGGAAATATTTATGAAATAGGATTGGAAAGTGTAAATGAAAAGAATCAATGAGACGAGTAAAATAATCGAATGATTGTAATGTTGGGAAGAAACCGGTCATTCTCCTTTTTATCATAAGATACCTTGTTTTCACATTGATAAATCAATTACCCTCAAATTCACTGAAGCCGTTTAAAAGCTTACGATTAAAAGATAAAAAAGGACATTAACAAAGGACATTAACCACAACATTTCCAAAAATTCTTCGACTTTACGAGTATATTCGGATAATAAGTAAAGTACGAAATTGCTGAATTATATCACTGGAAATTATGTCATTTTAGGATGGTTATATCCAAATTTCGCTACTTCTCAAGTTTTTCAAATTTCGATTCACTTTTTAGAGAATAGGTTTCAAAGAATTTTTTCAGTAAATTTAGCCATTTAACTTCATTATTTTAGCGTAATTATGGATGACAACTTTTTAAAATCATTTTTCTGTCCAAAACGCTATTTTTTACGAAAATATATATCAGGTAATTATCAGATATTTGAATAATCTACAAGTAGCATAGGTACAGCTATCACCGTGTGATTTGACCGCATAGATCTGCCATTAAAACTGGAATTCGGATGATATTGCAGATCATTCTATTTCTAAATAGATTATATGAAACTAGACAAGCCACTCCAAATATTTCATAATGATTTTTATAATGATGTTTTATAATGTATTTTTTTATAATGTATTTTTTCGCATTCGTTTTTCTTGTTGGAAAATCCATTTTATTTAAATTTTTAACAAAATTTTGCATGAAAAAGAAGAGAATCAATATATTAAACTATGTACATCCCGTTCGTCGTAACATACGGTTTTTGTTATTATCAATGACGTGGCTGCGATTCTTTTCTTTCCGCGATAACTTTTAAAACGGCACAATATTCTTTTAGTTCACTAAAAAAATTAGAAAATTCTTTTCATTAACTTTGCGAGTGGTTATTGGTTATAATAAAGTAAAAAGCAAGTTCAGTGGTCAGATATCATCGTCACTGGTCAGACTAGCTGTTAAATTTTTGCAGGGAGTTGTTTGTGGTAGAAGTTCAGGCAGGTTGGCCCGGATTTTTTAACGACAGATTTACTCCTGTGGGGGGAAAAGAATCAAATTTATGATGTTCGATGATATCGAAACAGTCATACCAAGCGACCATATCCCCTCCATTCAAAGTTGATCTATCTATAATAGTTGGGTTTTTCGTCATGAACTGCATATCATGAAACTGCATATCATATTGTGGGAGACATGAACATTTACTATCCATTGCTTTACTATCCATTAATTGAATAAAGTTTTTGAAATAATTTTTTTAAAAGTTCATGTCTCCCACAAAGTTTTTAAAGAAATTTACATACTATTCACTTGTTTGTTACTGGACTTGTTTATTGGTATTGTTTCTTAAGATTTCTTTTAGCACAGAAATGGCAAAATTTTTGTTGAAATGTTTTAGCTTTTTGATGCCGCAAGAATTTTTTTGAAAACTTACGATAAACCTGCATCGACTGAACATTGACAAAGCTCACCAGCTTCTTTTTTCCAATTTATTGAACGAGTACATCGTCTTAACGTCCTTTTTGCTTTCATTTCTAGTATCAATGGTTGGCATCTGAATATCTTTAATTTACGTTATTAGTTTTTGTTTTGTTCGTTTGCTTTTGTTTGATTGAAAATAATTCAAGTAATGCCAGTGGAAAATGATATCAATATAGGAAAAAATTGGCTAATTTTTTTTGTTAAAAATTTGATAGTATTAGCGAAAACTCATGGTGAGTGCAGACCAATAGTGCGAATAGTGTGCCTTCAGAATACCGTGCAAACGCATTAACCATAATTATGTTTGATTCAAATTGACTATCTCATTTATTCTCTTTTTAAAATTTTGTTTTATGAAAATTTTACACTCAGGAAATGAAAATCAATGATTCCTATTAGAAAGATTAGAATCGTTAAAGAAAGATTCCAAATTCCTTTTGCAACGAAGGTTAGAAAGTAAATATATTTGCGCATTCATTCTCGTTTTCTCAAAAAAAAAACACCGTAATCGACTTTTGCATATCAGTAATACAACAATTTTGTGCAGTTAAGAAAACAATTTTTTAAATCTTTCCAGGCTAAGAAATTTGAATTTATTAAATAATGTGGTAAGCAATTGGTTGGTCCCGCATCATCAATTCTAGCTAGATTATATGATGGATAGATATTTCTGATTGAGATGGGTCACTTGCGGGTGGTTGTCCACATCATCTGGATTTTTCCTGATGGGGATGCGGTTATTGCATAATTATCACTCCATAAAAATTTTTAATCGATTACTGCATGAAACGAAAGCGCATCGTGAAGATCTACTGTTTTGTTAAATTATTTACAAAAAAACAAATATATGAATACTATTTAAATTTAATTAATCGCTGTCAGGAATTGATTATTGGTTCATTATTTCTTAGATTATTTTTTTATTTTTTTTTATTCTCAGTTTTTTATCAATTCTATAATATGTAACTCTATGATTCTGATGCAATTAGCCATAATTTGAGAGCATTTAAGCTATTCAGTATAGCACTAACATATTATTCACTTAATTCAAGAACTATTCATAAAAATTATTCATGATTTAAAAAAGATGGGAGGGAAAAAACTACTCATTTCGATCAAAGCAAAAGCCATTCTCGTTTTTCTTCAAGAAACAGGTCTTTAAGCAAATTCCGAAGTTCGACGCTGTTTCAACGATTTTTCGAATCGAGTTTGGTATAATACTTGACAGAGAATCGGTTTTATGAGCGATTGCTCTTTCGCTCAAGCGAAACACCTCGCTTATATTAGTTTTTTGAATTCGTGGACCAGAATCAGATTCAACACATCTAAAATTGATTTTTTTTTGGAATAGTCACCATAAAATTAGAATTAAAATTGTAGCTTATAATTTGATAAAAGTTATAAAGCCAAAAATATGGCTAAATTTATTTTATTAGCAAGGCAAAATCTTCCCTTCTACTGGTATTAAGCCTGTCATTAAAAAATTGTTGGCAGTTGTCTATTATTTGGCACAAACTCATCCGTTTTTGGTTTGCATCAGCAGCTTTGTATGTGGATCTTGTCTCGAACTAAGTTATGACTCAACATATGAAGATTGAGAAATTTATTTTTTCTTTCATAATGGTTCTTTTTTTTCATAATGGTTCTGATTTTTTTAAACTCCACATTATTCTAATATTTACTAGCAAAAGGTGATTATGCGAAATAGCAAATTTTATTTTTCCTTATTATGTACTAGAAAAGGATTTTGTAAATAAATAAATAATAAAAAATAAAAAGTAGTAAATAGTAAAACTAACGCATGAATATTGTTTTCTAAACAGTTGAGAAAAACTTCAAGTAGCGCTCTTTTCTTGATAAAACAATTCTTTAATTCCTCTGGGTGCTCAGTTATCTAAATTAAATTAAAATAAGAATACCAAATTTGGTATCTCCATCAGTGGATATCAATGTATTTTGATTTGGTTACAATTATTTATTTGTATTTTATTTGAATATTTGTTTAATTATTTTTATTTTGCATTATATTCATTTTTAGCTTAGGGTAACAAAAAATTAGGTAAATAATGAAAAGAAAATTTATTCATTTTTAACAAATAAACATTTTTCGGCTCTAAAATTATTAATGAATTGGCTAAATCAAGATAATGAGTTTCCTGATCTGAATCAAGGTTTTAAGATTAGAATAATTTAAAAATAGTTTATTTGATATGATTTGATATTATGATTTCAAGATGGCAAAAGCACATCAAAACGATCTATCTTTCTCTCAAACTATAAAATTCCTTCAATTTTTTGAATTTTCTAGATTTATTTCTTTCCTTCAATTTTTTATACTAATTTTTTATCCTCCATATTCTGGAATTTTATAATTCTTTTATTCATTTTTTTCCATAAAAGAACTTGAGCTTTTTATTCTATTATTTTTTGTTCTATTTCATAGCTTTTTAACTATTTTTATTCCTTATACCAATATTTTCTGCGATGCTATGCTTCATTGTTGTACTGATCCATCAAACTTTTGATTTTAAATATTTTGCGATTAGAAGGCTTTATAAATGTCTTCTTTAATGTATGCTGTATTTTTCGAAAAATTTAAATCAGCTTTAAAGTTTTGATCAGAAAACCAAAATATCCTCAAATTATTATTGGGAAATAATAAAAGAAAAGCAACAAGAAAATCAAGAAATTTGAACAAAATATATCTTCATCAAGAATGGAAAAATGAGCCCTTTTCTTTGCAATTCGTAGTAGTAATCCTATTTGTACTTTAGAAAAAAATTAGAATCTACAAGAATTTCACAAATTTACCTCACGTATGCCAGACCAACACGGCTGAAAACAATCTGCAGCTTGTTCTTTCATTTCTTTTGTACAAGACTGTTGTTCTTTACAAGAGCATTGGCGTACATCAACACCTACTATAGCTGCATGATTGATTACATCTTTTCCTCGAAATAATACCTGTGATTGAAATACTGGAAGAAAATCCATTTACTAACTTCGAAATACTTATAACTGTCTTAATTAATTTATTCTTTTTTCATCAATTTTATTATATTTCATCTGAATTTTTTTCTCTTTGTATAATTTTTTGATAAAATTTATCTGAAAATTTATTAATTTATGGAGCAAAAAGTGCTATCCAATGTAACCTAACATTCCTGACCAGCCAGTATAATCCATTAAAAAAATAAAAGCACTACTTTCATTCCAGTTCATTTGGTGATATGATTTCGAACGATTTAAAGGGATAATCGAACCTGGATTTTCACCAAATGTGGAAAAAAACTAATAGGAAATAACAAAATCCGCCCACAAGAAGATTAAAATGTGCGAAATGAAAGCATAGAAAAATTAGGGACGCAAAAAGAAAAAAATGACCATTAAAGTTTGGAAATGAAATCTTTTTTTCGGTTGACAAACCTGATCAAAAAATTCTGCCTGATAAGTGTACGTAATTTGATGCGAAAATATATAGAAGAATAGCAAAATTTTTGGATACATACCAACCGTCGACGATTGTAAGGAATATACAATTGCAAAATAAGCGAAATATTGGACGCCTATCAACAGAACATTTTAAAAGGTTGGCCTTCCAGTTTTGCTGATTGTATTTTTTGATTGCTGCAGTTAGTATACTTAAGACAACTTTATTTTTAGAAACTATTCGCTTACAAACCAGAAATTATCATATAATTAATCAATTAGTTATTGGTAACAAAAAATTCACGCAAACCTTCTTCTTTCAGCTGAGGCGAATCGGATTCGTTTTCAGTTTTGGCTGCAAAATGAAACGAACAAATTAGTATAAAGTTACATAGTTATTAGCTTTATAAATTATTTCATGCAATATGATAACAGTTATTTCTAGACAAAGGCAAAATACAAGTGACGAAGAAAAGTACTAAAACAACAAATTATTTCATGTGAATTCATCATAAATAATTTATTTCAACTTCCTCTTTACTCTTATGGTATAATAGTTATAGAATATTTCCATCGACGAATTCAGTTTTCTTTTAAATATATGTGGTCATATCGATGCTTCATAATATTTCGATTTTTTCTACTTATTTCGGTTGATCGGCTAAAGTGTGAAAGCGATCAAAGTAAAAGAATTATCAAGAAATGAAATTTTGCGTCATAAATTTTTCTCGATATGATTTGATAATCGTAATAAATTGAAGAAGAAATAGAATGATGGAAGTTTTATTTTCTTTAGTTGAAGCTCACTGGAACAGAATTTAGAATTATTTCAGCGACCAAATAAAAAATTGATCAAATTTGAAATCTTTAATCAACTATTATTTTTTGAACTTTGAATGAGTTTCTTGATAGAAATTAATTAAAAATCTGAGCAATCCGAATGATTTAAACAATAATCAACCGATCTCACCTTACCTGATTTTGCAATTTTAGTTGATTTCATTTCCTCCTATTATTTTTGATAGTTAGAAGCCATTGCTAATTCAGCCTAATTTCCTGATTCCTACATGAACTTGTCGAATTTCGGGAACAATTTGCATTGTTTTTCGTAAGTAGTTCGTAATTAGATTACAAAATACTTTAAAGTTCTCTGGTTTAAATGGTTCCCATCAATTTGTGTGATTATCGATATGTTCCCGCTAGAACTCATAACATTTCAAGTTAATCGAAAAATTTTACCGCTTTAAATAATTTAAAATTATTTAAAAAATTTAGCATGGTATGGTAAAGTATGATAAACATTTTGATGTAGTGGGCATCAAGTTTGTGCATCTTAGTTATTTAGCAATCTTCTTCAATAAAATTCGGTGATAATCTTACCAGTGCATAATTTCTATCGGAATTTCCACCGATTGAGCAATTGAAAACTTCAAATAAGTCTTTTTGCGATGGTTTATTTTATTTGTATTACCGGTTTATTTTTGCAATCTTTCACCTTTTCATTTTTGTTTTTTAAATAATAAAATTGCGTCATTCAAACATATCATTCAGATTATTGTCAATTTCGGTTTTTAAATCGTTCAAAAAAAAATATAAATGCATAAATTGTTTAATAACGTTAAATAAATTTTAATAGCTATTATTATTAATAATGATAGCTATTAAATAGCTATTAATTAATGTGAAAAAAGGTTTTAATTTTTTATGCGAAATTAAAGAAAATAATTAGTAAAAAGTGGCATAAGTGTGGATATTATGTGGAAACAATAAGCTTTAATCATAAAAATCATTAGTAGAGCAAATAAGTACATTAGTAATATTAATAATAGTGGTATTAGTAGTAATGATAACAATAGATATTGTATAAATATGGATTATTTTATATATACCTACAATTAGAAATTACTCATCTGTACATTTTGGCATTATGAAACTCAGTTAATTCATAATAATCCAAAATCCCACTGAACATTCGAATCACGCCTGAAAAAGCTGCTTTCCATTCAAATTCCATTTTCACCTTTTAAAATTCTTCTAGAGATCTGCTAGATTGCTAGAGATGGATTTTTTTAATTATACAAATTTTTACACTATACCTTTTCAACTAAATCCAGCAGGTATAGAGAATTCTTCATTTTCTAAAACCAGTGTCTGGTTCTATTATTATATCTATAATATCATCAATTATATCTATAACGCCTATAGTTATTTAAATGATTGCCCATTTAAGGAAAAAAATCTTGATTGAAAAAAAACTGAGATTCAGTGGTATAGACATAATACTTATTAAAAAACCAAACCAAACATTTAAAAAAGTGAGGCTGAAAAATAAAATTCTGTTATTTAAAATTCTTGACATTTTTATGGTATTATATGCCCTAAGGCTATGCTTCGCTTATAATAACAATTGAAAGGTTTAATGAAGAAAATATTCTGTTTCATGATAAAGGCGTAAAGGTGTAAAAGCATCGCTATTGTTTATCTATAACTAATATCAAAAAGAAATACAAGTGTTCAAACTGGTCTTCTTCTTCTGACAGCTTTCACTATTATTGGTTAAGCTGGCTATAAGGATAAGGCGCTTCCAAGTGGCACAGTCTGATGCCATCGTCGAAAATAATAGAAGCTACTCTTTTTTCCATCGTCTAAGTCCATAGTGCTGGTCCAGCTATACGTTCAAAATTTGTTCTGACCGTATTAGACCAGGTCTTGATTGGCCTACCTCTATACGCCATTCATAACACGGTTTAGCAAGTAACGAAATATGCGTCAACTCCTGTGATGGGCCACGGAGAATGTGCCCTAACCAGCGAAGGCGACGTTCTGTGATAACAGTATTTATGCAAGTGGTATTTGAACGATGGTGGATGCGATCTTGTGAGATTTTATCCACTCGGCGGAACAGTAAAATATATCTTAGACAAGAGTGGTCAAAGGTAGATAGCTTCTTAATATCCTCCATTCTCATTGGCCATGTCTCAGAGCCATATGGCCAGATCGAACGGATCACGGCTACATAGATGCGGACTTTCGTTTTTATGGTGACTTCACGACGACTCTATAAAGATTTCGTCAAACGGAAGAACGCATTTCTAGCTGCCGTGATCAGGACTATAATATCGTCTTTTGCCTGGCCATTTGGCATTAGAGTGGGCTCAAGGTATTTAAAATCGGCACTTCTTCAACTGACAATGAATTGATAAAAAGAGGCATTTTATCAGCTTCTTGCACATAAGACTTTCGTTTTGTATGAATTAACACTGAGTTCGATTCTTTCTGCAGTTTCTGACACGTTATTTAGCGTTACTTGCATTATTTCGTCATAGCTATCAGCAAAAAGGACATCAGCGTATTCAAGATCTATGATACTCTGGATTGATTTGGACACTTCTTAAGTGCCGACAAGTGGTGTCCATTACCTAGTCTATCGCATGATTGATTACTATAGGGAAAAGGACTTGACGGACGCCAGTTCTTCTTTCGAAGGAGTCTGTCAATTCCCTATATATACAGACCTGCGCCGACGTACGTTCATAAAATACCTTTAAGAGTCGAATGATCTTCTCTGAAACACGTCACATACCATAATTTTCCAGAGGGCTGCTCTATCAATCAAAGCCCGCAAAGTCGATGAAACACGTGACAGTGGTTTGCAAATATGAATATTTGAAGATTTGAAGCGATGTTCCAACATTCTTCTTAACGTGAATATCTGGTCAGTACTATAGTAATAATTGTTTATAGTAATAATAATAGTAATAATTGTTTTTAGTTCAGCTTATTATCACAATAAGTTTCTTAAAATAATTTCTGATTTAGAAATTTTTCAGAAATGTTAAGATGTTCTGATCCTCCTTAAAGAAAAATTCCTGGTTAATGTGAATCTGATACCCTGTAGATGTAAAGAAATAACAAAAGAGCATTAAATTAGATTATCGAACTATGCGAATAGCCTATATATGGCACTTTAACTGCACCAAATTTTTTGTATTGTATTTCTTGGTGATCGATAGAACTTTACTTCTCGTTCGATCGATAAAATCACAACGTAATTTGAATCAAAAGTGTACTGATAAATTTGATAAATTGAGTTTAAAAAGATATGTGAAATTAAATATTTTTCAAAGAAAAATCCAGTAGAACACTTATATTAAAATTTTTTGCCGTGTAATTCTGAATTTTTTTTGCTAAGTGGTAATTAATTAAAGTTCCATCATCATTTCATCTATCATTTAATGCTATATTTAATCTGTCTCGTCCAAAATGAAATTTTTCTGGTTTCGTTTATGATCAGGTTTTCTATATGAAAAAAATTGTGTTGAATAATGAAAAAAATTCATCTTTAATGTTAATCCTTTTTTTCAACAACTGAAAAAGTACTTAGTGAAATAAGGAAGATTCTCAAGGTTATTCTAAAAATCAATCAAATTAAAAAGAAATCCATGTAAAAGCTACAAATGACAGTTGCCTTCAGGAAGAATAATGGCTCTGCTTGTATTGCATTTCTATCAACAAAAATTTTGTTCAGCTATAATAGCACTTCTTAGCAACTAATTTGACAAATTTGTTATGAATTTTCTAGTACAAATTTTTAATATTCTATCATAGGCAGACTATTATTTCTTGAATTTAAGTTCAAATCCTTCTTCAATCAGAGTATCAATTTTTTATATTTAGTTGTTACTGGCGCAGAATTTCTGCAATATTTCTGAAATACTTCACCATACTTTCATTTATTGTCAAGGAAATGAAGATAGTTTAGAACTTTTTTCATAGTCTTTGCTTTCTGAATTTATTGTTTATTATCATTGGAAAACAATCACAATATTTGCACTATATTTTCTAGTCAAATAAAAAAAAAACTAATCAATTTGAATTTTTCTTCTTTATGACGATTTAAATTTTAAAAAATAATTCACGAAAACTATGAAATTATTAAAAATTATTTAAAAAATTGTTAAAACGAAAATTATGCTAATGTGCTCAAAACACATTGAATGCTTTCAACCATTATAGGCGTTGTTCCCATCGTCCATCGTCGATTCACATCACAAAATCCATTTGTTGTGGCGGTATCAATACCAACGGAAAGTAAAGAAACCTGGTTAACTTTGATTGCTGCTTGTACTTGTTCCAAAGTCGTAGCGGGTTTTCTAAAAATTATATTGAGTATAGTATGCATAATCTGAAATGTAGCAGTGAAAATATGGAAAATCAAAATTTCTTTCTTGGATTATTATTGTTTGGATTGGTCCATAGCTTTAATTTTTTTTAAATCAATAAGTAGTCGAAATATGAAATAAGAGTTTACCGAGAAGTGATAACTGATATTTTTGATTGCAGGAAAAAACATTGAAACTTACGAGCATGATGCTGTAACTGTTGTTCGACATGTAAGACTATTGTATTCGAACGACATTATACCATCAGATAAAGAAGTATTGCTTGGTGTGGCTACCAGTGGCAGACAACAGTCTAAAAAATTAGCAACAATGGTTACATTCGTAAAATTTGAATGACGAATGCTAATTGCCACATTCATGAATAAAGGTTCATCCAGAAAATTGTGGTAGGGATGAAATTATTTAAAAAAAAAGCTAATGACGACCGAATATGTGCTTTACTCAGTATACTGCATCATTGAAAAATTTTTTACGAGATGAGCCAAAAATAAATTGAGTGATTGAGTAAAAATTTTATGGAACTAATGAAATTTGTGGACTATATAGATTACACGGTACTTGAATATAAAATGAATGAAGAGAAAAATCCTTACGTTCACCACCAATACCTGTTGGCACACAGCCTTGAACTAAAGGTAAGAAAATGAATTGTAGAAGATTCATTTGAATAATTATTAGAGGAATTATTAGAGGAATAATCTTCCACTTTCGAAAAACAGTCGTCGAAGAAAATTCGTATAGATAACTAAAAAAATTTAACCATTATTTCAATTTTACTTTATTACTTTTTTACCTATCATTTATAGTATGAAATATTTATTACCAAAGAATTTTTTATTGCTATTGCTAAATCAGATTCTCATGCTCATTGTCAAATTATTGAATAGACCTCAAAATCTAACGACAGTTCCGATAAGTTGAACCCTTTATATGATCACCAATTTTAATAAATAGGTTATGGGATACATACAGCATAGAGCCATATGCAGTAACTAATAAATAGCATGTAAAAGTAGCTCTTTTCATAGCGTCAGATTAATTTAAGCGCAAAAAAATGGAACGATTATCGTTTCTTAAATAATTATGAAGTCATTCAAGGAGGGATAATTTACGATTAAATGACAATCTGATCATTATAGCTAGCTATTTCAATAAAAAATTAAAAATTTCAGAGCGAAGAATGTTTTTTAAAAAATACCGCTGATTTGAAATAAACGATGCTCGAATCGGTTGGTTAAACATTGTCCTTACTCTAAGAATGAGTTTCGAAATTATTCATCCTTAATCCAACCATTTAAATGGCCTCCATCCATTAAGAAGCTCATCTAAATAGAAGATTAGGTTGTCTATGACCCCTTTCTTAAACAATGGCTCGATATTCTATGTAGTGAATAAACTGACCTTTCGTATTTACGCAATATTTAACTAATCTTCTTACATCCTTTTTATTATTTTGATCCAGAGCATTATTTTATTTAGCCCAATTTGATGGAACCATATTTTTGCAAGTTTTTTTATCTATTAAGAAAAGTATTTTCTGGATTCTCGATTCACATAAGCATCATTAGAATTTCACTGCATTTAAAATACTTTAATTTATAATTATAATTATAATTTGCAATTTTATTATATTATATATGATAAAATCATGCAGAAAAACATACAGTAAAGCATACATATACAATAAATGCAAATTAATCAGTATTACAATTTTTTTATTTAATATTTAATATTTTTTTATTTAATATCACTATTTATAGGCATGTAAATATGTGGATTTCGCATCTTATGGATTATCATTGGATTAGCAGCACCCATAACATTTCTGACTTGGCTGGCTTCATTAGCTCATAGAATGTGATTCTTTTGATTCCTAGAAAGTCATTTTAAGGTAAATTACAAGTGGGTCGCCAGAAGTACGTTTTGGACGACAAGTTTATCTCCACTAGGAGACAAGAATCTAACACATGATACTTGATACTTGAACTTGAAAATAGAAACCAGTTTACCATCATAAAATATTTAATCTGCTATTATTTTCTTAAATTTTGGATAAAATTCTGAACAAATAAATTGCAAAATAATAATATTCATTAACAAAAGTTTTCCTTTCGATGAAATTTCTTTTGATTGATTCTTTTGATAAATTTCTGCGATCGCATAGCCATATTATGAACATGAAAGATTTTTTTATTTTGCAACACATTATAATTATTGTTTATTGCTTTTCAATTGAAATTTTCCATAAAATTCGAATTATTTTTGTAGTTTCAGAACGAAAATAAATAAAACGAGATCGATGAAATTTTAGAAAAGTTTAAAAAAAAGTTGGCGAAGTTGAAAGCATTTAGAATTATTCATCGTTCTGACGAATTTCTTAAAAAATTTTTACAGATGATTTAGATTAGGAATATCAAGAAAGATTAAATAAAATCGCTCAAAAAATTATCCACTTAGAATTTTTGGTTAAGCTCCTCTACAAGCTAATAGTGTGATGCGATGTGACTATTCTTGTCTGAAACACTTGATGGGTAGACGTACGTGTAGGTCACCGGATTTTTTATTGACAAAATTATTCAGTTCTATTCGTTTCGATCCATCAGTATTTTTTTTCACTAATTTGTTTTTTAATTCTTTTCTATTTTTTAAATATTTCACCTCTATTTTACTTTCTTATATACTCATATATTCTTCCTTTATTTATTTTTTCGAATATATATATAGATAAATAAATATTTTTTTCTATATAAATGATTTCAAACTTGTACACAAATCGCCATTAAAAAATGTCGTTTATCTGAAATTAGTCATAAAATTTAAGGACATTATTTAGTGAAAATATTATGAGAAAATTATTTAAGGAAGGCGTATTTTTCGGAAACTCAGATATTTTTCCTCAACACAACATACATAGTTATAATTCTCTGCTAATGAACAATTACTTTCTGTTGTACTTTTCTGCAATTTTGATTGCATCATCTATGGCTCAAACTTGCTCATATAGGAGAAAAAATTTCGTTACGGAGTGGAAATATGATCAGTTATCCAAGCAAATGGTATTTTTCTTCAATATCACTGATCCTAGTACTAAATTCCTTAGTGGCATTGCCATTGGTGATAGCAGTGACTCGGTCAGATTTAATTACTTTTTTTTTCTGGTTATTTAAGTTGACAAAAAATAGAAGTTTTGGTAAAAATTAAAATTAAATGTCTAAGTTAAAGACGAAGAAAACTAAGGACAAAAGGACAAGTTTTAAGGACAAAAATATATTTAACTCAGATGAACTGCAATGTTTAAAGATGGGATAGACGAGTGATATATTGAAAAAATTCCTATCAAAGATTCGATTCGCGCACGTCCCTTGACGACAAAATAAATCTGCCAGTAGCGATGAGAACGATGGTCGCACTGGAGACCACTTGCACGACTATTCATAAATGACCGTTTGGAGAAGGGTTCTCATTTTAGTAGACATGGAGTTTGCTAGTATGATTATTTAAAGTATTATTTCTTGACTAGTGATGTCCATTATCACCCTAGCATTCTTTAGCATTTCATCATTTTTAGAAAAATTTCACACCAAATTTAGTTGTGTGAAAGACTGTAGCAAGTATGATGAAACCATTCTAGTGCCATTAATTGTTTGCAGTTTAAATTAAAATATTTTAGGAGCCATTTGTGTTTATTGGAGTTCGAAATTATAAAGAGAATCCAGATACAGTTATTCATCACTTCGACATTCATTCCGCAAAAAAAAGAAATCAAAACAATACTTCTACGATCAAACGAAAAAATGGATTTATTGTTGCGAATATCACACAACCAATGTTTTCACCAAATTCGGAAAATTTCAATCTATCTTGTTTCGTAAGATTTATTATAACATCCAACAACGAATAATCATTTGATCATTTAGGAATAGAGCAAATTTGAATCCACAGCGTCACTCGGATTTGACTTTTAATAAAAGCTATGTTATCACAAATTGAATTGCTAGAAATGATAAGAATCGAACCCTCGATGCGCATTATGAATCGCTTTTAAACAAAAAAATATATGTTAAATTGTTAAAAAAAGATCGAAAAACAGTGATAAATTAAAATATATAAACAAAAATATCTTCTTACACTAATTTCATTCACTTTGTTTTAGACCATTTATTTTTCAAAGCAATGGAATATTGCGAAAACTGGCGCAAATGAATATAATTGGTCATCAAGTGACAATAGGACTGTGTGTACCAACCAGTGTCTTTTACTTGAGAATCCTCCACCAGATCACCTCATTTCCTGTATGTTACAGTGGAAATTTATTGTATTTATTATGTGCTTTTTATTTTCAAAAATTTCCTTGAATATTGTTTCCAGCAAATGAAATAATTACCACTGAATTTAATAAATGTAAAAGTCGAGAGCAAAACTTAGAGGTCGAATGGTTATATGATGAGGATGAAAATGCAATCATATTTGACATTTCTCATCAAATATTACCTGGCAAATACAATATTACGATCGTTATCAGTAATAAAAACAAGGTAACATAGTTTATAAAAAAGAAAGGTTTAAGTGGCTATTTATATATTTATAATCTTAATATTCATAAATTTTGACTTTTTGTGAGGAACAAAAAAATTTTTTAGTTCGAGTAAAGATATTCAGGAGAGTGATTTAATTGTTCTTAATATGCAAGATGGTCGATTCATGTTTTTGATTAATTATAATAAGGCAAATAATCAAATATCAATTCGGAATAATACTCGACAGTATAAAATATTAGTGCAATTGGCAGGAGAAATATCGCACATATGGCTATCCAGATTTATTAATGATTATGATGTGAGTTAATTTTTCAATATTACTCTTGCTTTTGCTCTTACTCTTTCTAAAATAAGTTTGCAAAATTCTATTAGCATTTTCTCTAAATCATCCTAGTACACTCGACTTTAGCGAAAAATAACAAGAAGAAATTCGCCTGAATTTAACCATACGAAATTTTTTTGGGCGGTCGCTTTTTCAGAAAATTTTACTATATGCCCTTTGAAATCATATTGTTAGACAACGATATAGATATAAGAAAATTAACCAAATTTGAACGAATTTATTTGAAAACTACTAAACTAAAGTTTTGTTTAACATGGGATGATGGCATAGGCATTTTACACTTGGAGCATTAAAAACTTGAACAATATATACTTCGTTGAAATTTTCAGAAGACAGCATTCGACAAATGCGTTAGATTACAACTCACACTTAGTGTGAATGAATACCCTAATTCATCGCAGAAATATTATGAAGCAGTTTCATCCATAATTTGTGATATTAAACAAAACTGCCCAAAGCAAGCAATACATAACGCAAAAAAACAAATATATTTAACGAATGATACAGATAAAATAAATGAACATGAAGAAGCGATAATTGCTAGTGAGCAATTAACAACTGAGGGAAATGGCTGGTTTGAGTCGTCGTTGATCACACTGGACAATGCTGAAAGCGTGACCACTGAACATATTCCAAGCGATATGGCAGAAACTACGCATAGATTCCGAAGTATTTCGACTGAAATTGGAGAAAAAAATAAAATTTTACATGTGGCGAATAAGTTTAAATAAGTTTTAAAACATTGCCTTCGCTAAAATACAGTTTTTGCTCAACAACATTTTTTTATTAGCGAAACCTCAGAAATTGTCCATCAAATTAAACAAATTACACAAAATTTAGAGTCGAAATTTTTAATAATAATGAGCATATTTGATAAAAGTTAGAAGCGAATTTCTAAACAAATTAACAAATTATTGATTAGATAATTAAATTTGAAAAATATAGAGAAAATTTAGATAACTGTGGTCGCGAAGATTCAATGGTATGTATGAAATATTTCCAATTGTATTTTGATAAAGTCGCAAAATGGTCCGAGCAAAATGAGGAAAATTTTGAAGATCAATATCAAAAGGTCTAATATTTTAAATTTGGCTATAAAGAGTTCCTATGCATATTTTACTTGAGGATTTTTATTTTAAAAAAACTATAATTTTGTTAATGAATCTATTATTTGAGCACATGATCTGCAAATTATCATCGGCATCAAAATATTAAATTTTTTCTTTTAATGCCCATCATCTATTTGACTGCCTCCACTGGCTATTAGGATGAGATTCTTTTGCCAGAGAGTCAATTAGGAATGGGAGTATAACAAGAAACAAGAATCAAACTTGTGATACCTAGGTCATTACTCCAAAGCAACACTGGGCATCACTTATTTAATTAAGTCAGAGTTAAGCAATTAAAAATATAGCTAATAAGTATGATCTAATACTGAGATAATTAGAATTCACCTCAAGCTGGAAAATTCAAAGATACTAATTTTCCGATAAAGATGGAAATTAATCGCCAATAAAGAAAAGGAAAAAATTTGCTGATACTTGCTCATGAAATGTTTCAGGCTTGTGAACTGTTATCTAAGGTGCCTCAGGTACCACGTTTATGCTGCAAAATATTTCATAAAACATGCGAAAATTATATACAGATTTTAAGCGATTCATAAAATTTCAAACGGATATATTTAGACTCTAACATATGCTGTTTAGAAAATTGTTCGTTCTAAATTTTTGTAACAGTTACTTCGATGAAACAACAATTAATTCAAGTGCTTATTTGTATGCAATTACTAAAAGCTAATTTAAAAATCCAATTTTTACGAACAAAAATGTGATTTTTGGCGTAAAAGAAAAAATAAAAAACAAATAACTTCGGTATGGAACAAATGACAAATGGAACAACTCAAGGAATGCTAGATATATCGAGACAATTACCGATTAAGTCGGGAAATTAACAGACGAACAATAAATCTACCTTCAGCATATGAAACATGAATCCGAAGAATGCGTACTAAAAGAATATGCTCAAAAACAAAATACATTAAAGCAAATTAATAAGACGAACGATCGGATCTCTTGAATCAACCGTTAAAAGGGCTAATCGTTGACAGCTTCGCGGAAAATCCTTCATTATATTTGATAAGAAGTACCAGTCGTGGACGTCTATCGCATGCCACGTTACGTATTGAAAGATTAAGGAAAGGCTTGATTCAGCTTGCAACCATTCACAACTTTCGCGTATAATCACTGCAATTATTTTAATTTTAACGCAGTCATTGAATCTTCACTTCAGCATTTAATATAACATCACTAGGTAACGACTGATAAAGGAACACGAATAAGGTGAAATAAAGTGAAAGTTGCCAGTATTTCAATATTTCAAAAAAAGTCCGACCTTTACTACATTCAACAAAACAAGTTTGGAAGTTGCACAATAAATCAAGTTCTCGTTCGTAAATTTGTTTTTCAGAATTTGTGAAGACCTATAACAAATTTCAAAATATTTTCCAAATTTTGCAAAATTTGTGAAAAGGTTTCGAAATTTTCTTAAAACTATGGAAAAGTCTTGAGAAAAATAATATTTTTCTTCAAAAATTTTACTATTTTTTAAAAAATACTATTAAATACTGTTTCAAGAAGATCGGATATCTTTCATAGATAACAGGCATCAGGTAAATTCGAAAAATGATAAATAGAAAGGTCATGGTCATGTAGTCCATTTTTAACTCTAAAAATAAGAACCCTTTCATGATTAAAAAAGGTCGCATAATATAATTCATCGCGCAGTTACGATTAAACTTGGAAACTTTTAAGTTTCATGAATCGCGAAATGGTTGTTTTTCTGATGTATCCTGAGGAAATACTAAAAAACTACTTTTCCAATAGCTGCTCGTTCATGTTGTTCAACAAGTTTGAGCGATTCATCATGACACATTTGATCACATTTCAAAAATGTTAATGGCTCAGTAACTTCCAAACAATGCATTACTTCCATGAAGTGTTCTCTTTTAAATTTGCATAAAAAATTGGCAGGTGAAAAAATTTTCGGTGCAGACTGAAATAATAATAATTAGTTTTAAAAGAAAAAAAGTAAATCGTCCAATAAAAATTTTAAACTTCATAAAAATTTCATAAAATCATTGTAGAATTTTATGTTATTTTAATCAATTAATTTAATAAACAAAATTAATAAAAAAAAATTATATAATAAATTATATAAAAAAAAACTCGGTCGAGGCATTCGTTCACATAACATTCAGTTTGTTTTTGCGAGATATTACAATATTTGAAAAATCCATTTTGTTCGAGGATTATAGGATGAAATGGGAATTCATAGAAATCGGCCGATGAAAAGTTGAATTTCTCGTGAAACATCAATCTCCAAGCACCGTTACATTCCTCGAAATCATTCAATCATTCAATCATTTTCAGCCAAGCTGACCATATTTTATCTCGTAATCAACTTTATTTAAACCATAAAACATACAGTAAATATATTAAGATTATAAGAAAATAAAAATTTAAATTGCCTCATAACAAGAAGGATCCGTCAAATTGTTGTCTAAGACGAGCATAAATCCTCGTTTCATGCGTATACTTTCTTCATCCGAATAATGCATAAACAAAACAAGAACCAAATATATTAAATAACAAAACCAAGTGAAAATATCCATTTTGTTGGATCAGTCCGATAAAACCACCACATAAAAATAGGTCAATACGCCTTCGCATGATAGGTTAATGGCAATAAATGATGACTACCAATCAGCATCTTATCATAAGTTATCATTACCATTATAATAAATACTACTCTCACCTACACCTAATTCTCCCTAAAACCATTGTACCAAAATTGTAAACTATAAATGAACTGTAAACAATGATCTATTTAACTATGCTTAGTATTGTCACAAATTTTATATGCTTATTAATATCACAAATTTTAAAATTTAATTCATGCCAATCAGTCGAAAAATGGGTCAAAATTTGCCGCAACCCCTTTTTTTAAATTTTTAATCCTTTAAAAAATGAAAGAAAGCAAAAATGAAGAAAGACTTGTAGTATATGAAATAGAATAGTCAACTGAAATGTTGCTTCGGCTCATCTTCGATTACTGCTTCCTAATGAAAGTAAATCAACAACGAAAATGAAGTGCTGGTGCTATTAAGGACGCACTAGCACTTTGGAAAATCTTGGAAAACCCTGCTGCTATTGGGCGTTTCATCTCCTAATGATCTCATAACCACATAATCTCGCACAAACAGCCCGGCTTGCCAAATCAGAAATGGTAATAACGAGGCCATAGAGATATCGACATAAACCTTGTGAAATGAGAAACCATAATTACCATAATTACAAAACTCACTCGAGCTTTTTAACTTTCAAAAACTAAAGAAAAACCTAATTTTCAGACTTTATCGAAAACCTTATTATATGAACATATGAATAAATAAATAAGTATAATTCGAAATCTATTTTGTTTAGTTTAATTTTAAATGTTCCAGTTGAGTTCAGATTTATTTCTTCACCATTCTATTCGATAATTTTGAAAAATTGCCAAAACTTTCAAATTCAATTTTTTTTCAATTTATTTAGCGGAGACAAAAAACGGGGAGAAATATTTATGCATATACTTTTGCAGAGAAATCAAATTCTAGTTTGTTAAAACAAACGTTTTTTAACAAATTATTTCTTGGCAGAATTTTTTCAGTGGAAAAACTTCTTCAGAATTCTTGACAGTCCGCTTCAATGATAATTTATCACAAATGGCAAAAAATTGTTTATAACTATCATTAGCTAACAAAGCAGATGAAAAATATTTACAGGTGAAAATTCTTATTCATTTTTCGGTTGCCAGCCAACAATCTTTGATCGGGTCGTAGAGTACGGAACATATTTCTTGTCCCTGGGAATTGAATGTATCAATAAATTATTAAAATAAAAAAGGGTAGTAAACAAAATAGAATAATAAAGGTGAAAATTAATTTCGAAAATTTTCATGGCAAATTATTTTTAAGAATCAGTGAATAATAACAGATAATAATTACAGTTCAAGTGTCAAGTTCTCTTCATGACCAAGAATCCATTTCCGCTGAACTGGTGGATTCTGAACCGGAGTTTTATCTGTCATATGGTGTAACCAATGATGCCTATAATTTATTCATTCATATTAATATAGCGAGGAATTAATTCAAATATAAATCCTATTTATGAATAAATAACGATAGAAAAATATTGAAAAATAATTTTAACCAGATAGAGGAGAAGCATAAATTGAAAACAATATATAAAGGAACCATTCAGGAGGTATTTGAGATGCATCATATTCAAGCCAACGATATTCAGGATATTCTACCCAACGACTACGAGGCACATTATAACTTTTGTCCTTTTAAATATTATTATTAATGAGATTAGAAACAAAAAAATGCGGTTTCAAAAATACTTTTGATATAGAACAAAGTTTCATTGGTTATCATTCTTATTATTAGCCATTATAATTCCAGCAAATAAAATGTTTTAACCAAGCCGAATGATTAGATTGGGAAAATAAAGAAAAATAAATAAATAAACGAACTTCATAATATCTATTACCAAATTTATCTTCTCCAACAAATGTTCCACTTCTTGTTTCATCCATTCTATGATAATAACAGTAATTAATAAAAATAATAAAACAAATAATGTATTAAAATAATAAATAGCAAATAATAATTAATGACAATAGTGATATTAATAATTATAGTAATATCCCATATTTTAAAAAGACCTTTCTTTATGAATAATTATTCTGAGTAATAAATAAACTAAATTTCTGAAAAAAACCTTTGCCAAATTTTTTTTCTAGAAGAGTAATTTCTGATTATTTTTTCCTAATAAATATTCTACAAAAATTTTACTAAAACTATGACTCTAAAAGACTATAATGAAAGCACCAAATATGGCTTATGGCTCATTTCAAATTCTGGTTTAAGCAAAATTTTACGAAAAATTGAGTCAAACACCAACTGCACCTTACTTCTTCCCCATCACTATTCTCAACTTCTCTTAATTCATATAAATGCAAACTTGAAATGAAAACTTACAAGTAACGCTTTTTCAGTGTTGCCCTGATCCCACCGAGTTCTTTTATAATCTTCATGAAGCGAAATATTTTATCCAAACCGAATAATTCGCCAATGCTCATTTTTCCTTCAATAAGTAGACGGAACAGATAAAAACCTGATTTGAGCATTTATCCTGATAAGAACCAGTGAAAAATCCGAATGGCATTCCACAAGAAATTCGCTAAATGATTCCAAAGCAAAAATCTCTGACCGTATTAACAGTTAAACCAACCAGAAACGCTAATTACATACTTATCCAGTCTTGTTCGAAGTGTTCAAAATTAATCCAAATTTGGCTTTCCTCATTTTCTTATAAGAAAAAATGTTAATTTTTGAAAAAAAATTTCTCACATCTTTCAAAAACGATATATAATTTCCATAACCCCATAAACAGATCGATTAAACAGCCGAAAAACAATGCTAGCGCTAAATGATCTATAGGATTACTGAATAAATAAATAAATGACTGGATATTTTCTTGACAAAAAAGTTTATAAAAGTCAGAAAGAAACCTTTTCCGTATAAAAGATACTAATTATACTAATTCATATTCATAATTCATATTAATAATTTATGCACAAAAAGGAAGAAGTAAATGATTCGAAAATCGAAAAATAAAAATAAAAATTGATTTATAAGTTTTATTCACACAGTAAATATTTATAATTTGGAAAAATATTTGTAATTTGACAGGAAATCTCTATGCTACAAAACCTCAATTTTCATTTGAAATTATTTAAAATAAATAGATGACAAAAAGAGAAAAAATTCGATAACTTGAATGTAATGTTTCGCAAATCTTTTAAACAAAAATATTCTTTAAGAAAAAAAAAAACTGATGAATTAATTCTGACAAATCCACTTTTTAAGGATAAAATATGAAAGAAAATATTGCAATTATTCAAAATTTAATTTGGTTTAACAATGATAACAGAATTTAATATACTCATATCCTGCAGTGTTTCGGTTTCTTCTTTCATTATACGGTTAGGAAATACTGTCATTAAGTCGAAAGGATTGAATGCTAGTTTCGGAATGGCACTGAAAAAATTTCGGATCATACAAAAATAAAAAATAGCAGAAAAATGCTAATAACAAGTTAATTCAATCCTAATACATTAGTAAATAATAAATAATTAATAAAAGAATTAAGATTGATAAAATTCATACCATCAAATATAAATCAAACCCATTATGCATTATAGTAAAATCACCAACCTTACAATGAAACTTCGCAAATCTTGTATCGTATGTGTATAATTGAATCGACCAATTATCTTTTTACCATTCGGCAGACGAAACTGAATTTGAGTAACTGGTTCCTCTTCGTTTATCTTTACTTCATCCTGGGCCAATTTCACATCATCATCTATGAAATTTATTTATTTGAAATGTGATCAGAAAGATAAGAGGATAAAACGACTAGATAAAGCAACAATAGCCAATTATAGTATCATCATATCTTTTAAATTCTTTTAGATTCCAACTGAAAAAAATTCTAAATTTTCATCTATTCAATAAAGAAAGCTATTTCAACCTGCTGCATCCTTAGGCGAATCCGTTGAAGATTCCTGATCAAAATTTTCATTCTCAACTTCGATATTATCACAAGGCACAATGCCACCGAGACGATTTCCTTGGCCGCCGAAAGCATTTATATGCTTCGTTACATTAGGTGGCTCATAAAGACCAGGATTACGTTCCATTCGCATATCAATGACACGACCCGGATACATACGAACAAGTTCCATAGGCATGCGACTGTAAGAAATATGTAATGAAAAGTTTTATCAAAGGAACTATTCCGTTACCAAAATAACATATCATATATTGAAATTTCATTATTTATTATCTGGAAATACTCTAAAAAATAAAGTAACGAATCAATACCCTTGCATGATACTCTCAAGAAATTGTACGTTTTCTCGATCGGAAAGATCTCGAAATGGGCCATTATTTAACGTAAATCCATCACGCCAAATTTTCAAAGTGACATTTTCCTTCAGTTTACAATAATTCATGATCAAAATTATAATATAAAACTATTTTATAATAAAAGATTCCAGAAAATATTTAGCAAAAAAATGTCGAACATTCAAAAAATCCATACTTTTTTTGATTCACTATTGGCCTCTTTCGTATTAGGCACTGATTCTATGGATTGTCCACTGCTATCACCAAGACGATATCCAACGCTTCCAGATGCAAAAGCACGGTTTTTTCCTAAATTTTGGAACTCCTCCTCAGTTATAGCTGTGCCATGAGCACGCGCTCCATTGAAAATCCGAGATATAAAATCTTCATTAGGAGAAGGCGAACCCAAAACTTGCTGACCACTATAAAAAAATCCAGGAAACAATTGAAGATCAACAAAATATTCTTGATTAAATAATTCCTTCTAACTACAAGACAGAAATCAATTCGGAGAGGAGCGCCAATGCTGAGGTTCTATTCCTCGCAGGAGTAAACGTGTCCAAAAATCCGAATGATGGTGGCGACCCACCTGTACATATTTGTCCGATGCGACAAGCCAGCGTAGCGAGTTTAATCAGTGATCGTGAAGATACTTGAAAACAAAAAAAAACCTCATGATTGACCAAAATTAATAAAATTTTGAGATGAACAAATAACTGGTAAACAACTAGACGCAAAACAAAAACCTGTGTTCACTACCGCCAACATAAAGACTCTGGCGGTCACCATCATTCGAATCGTTGCTGCTATGACGACTTTTGCTTCTGCTGCGCGATTGCCTTTTTGATAGCGATGAAAGGGTTGCAAATCTATATTAAAAATAAAGATATTACTAAAATATTACTAAAACTATTCTTCAGTAAATCGTTTAGATTGTATAAAAATATATTTCTATGGATAGCTAAAGGAAACCAAAATTAATAGTTTATAAAATATTGATTGCAAAATACCACCTTTTTCCTTCGTTTCCATAATTTTTGTAATTTTTAATAGAAAATTATGAACAATAAGAAAAAAAATGGCGAAAACCATTTTAACGAAATAATCGGAACGATTTCATCACAATTACAAAATATTCGCAAAAGGACGATATAGTAGAATTTTTAACTAATTAAGACAAATGTGAACGAGATGGAATATCATATATGAACAATTTCAGATAAAAATCAGTACCAAGAATTTCACAGAATTTCACAGAATTATCTTCTACTCGCATAAAACTGCTTGAAGTCTTGTTACAAAACTTAATAAATCTCACTACATCTCCCCAAATTCTTCCAAACTACAAGCAAGCTGCAACTATTTTTAAAGCCGAACTGATATTAAATCCGATTAATATCCACCAATCCCTGTCGTATATCTTTACAATGTTTACCCTTTATTTTGCTACCTGAAATGGCGAAAAATGGGCCTAATTAGCATAAAAGGTTTGAAAAGGCTTTTTCAATAAGTTAATAAGTTAATAAGTTCAATAAGTTAATAAAAGCTTATTAAGACAACACAACAAGTTTTGAAAATTTTTAAACACGAAGAGAAATCTTGAAGAAATTTAAGGCTGCGGCTATGTTTTCCGCGTACAAATACAAATATGTAGAAAAAAATACTAACATAACAAGTGTTATATAAATTTATATGCATACAATTTAAAAACATTTGGATTTCTTGTAAATTGCCAAGTATATAAAAATTTTTAACCAAATCTAAATAAAAATTATTTTCTGGTGCGTAGTGTGCGTAGCGGCCAGAAAATTCGCAGAAACAAGGTTCGTTTAACGCACCACTCTTCGTCGGATGTAACAGAGAGAAAGAAAAAAGAATGGCTCAGAGGGTTCTTGTTGACTTCGGAGCGCCAACACTGAGATTCTACTTCATGCAGGAGTAAATCTATCCGAAAAAGCGGGGATGCAGGCGACTCACCTACACTTCTATGGTAAATATGCCTTTAGCATATTATTTCTCTAATGCGACAAACCAGAGGAGCGAATCTATTCAACAGCAGTGATAACCCTTTAAAAAAAATGAAATCGAAGAACTTACTTTTTGTCGCTCATTATTACTAAGTATCGAGGTTATTCCTCTTGCAAAAAAACGAATTTTTTTCAATATTTATAATCTGAAAACGAACGAAATGAACTGAATTTTAAATTCACTTAAAATCCATTTTAAATAAAATTTTGAAAAACCGATTAAAAGAGAAAAAAATTAATTAAGTTAAATTAATTAATTTTGTAAGAATTAACAATGAGGCAAGGTTTATGAAAAAAAACCATAGTATAAACTACAGCTTGTATAGTTTAAACGAAATCGAATTATCTTAAATTACGCCTGGAGAGACTAGTGAAAAGTCTATGGATCTCTTCATTAAAGTCTAAATCTTTGAAAGTCCCAGAAAGACGACGGGGCCCAGGTAAAAGTCACGGAGAGCAGAGGCTGGTGAATGTAACCTTAAAAAAGCTGCTCACGCTAAAACTGTGGATGTGAAGAGATTTCATGAAAAATATACAAACAGAAAATGAAAAAACTTCATGGACCTATAGGAATTTTTCAAGATCCAATCTTTTTATGTGATTCGTGAGCTATAAAAAAAACTACTGAAAAAAATGGGTTCTTTAAAAATATACATTTCCTTGTAACCATCCCTAATTTTTAAATGCCTCGACCCACCTCATATTTAAATAAAGCGGTTCCAAATGAACATAACTCCAGTTCACACAACCTCGCCAGCGGGGACTTGGAGCAGCACCCACCCACTCTTCACCACCATTCCATTACTCCCACCATCCCAATTCTCAACAATCGCATAACCCGAACGAAAATTCAACCACAAATTTTAAATTTCGCCTAGTTGATTCGACACTCGCAAAGTTCAATCTTTCACGCAAGCCATCCTCGCAACACAAGAAGAATTGAAAGAAATTTATGTTTGCTTTCAGGATTCAGTCGAATGGTACGAATAGCGAAGTGGATCGGTCTTCGCTTCCACCCAAACCTGCGGCCCAACTTAAGCAAATCCGAATAATTGAAAGGCATTCTCAGTGTCTTTTACATAGTTATCTTCCTTAACAGCTCCGTTTTAATTACTCGTAGCCACTAAACAAGTTTATTTTCAAAATATCTCTTCGAACTTTTCGTGATTCTGTTTCCTCCGAAGTGCTTTTCCATTAATCGTATGAAGTGTGATTTATTTCATTATTTAGGCAAATTTAAGCGAAAAATAAAAGAAGACGAACTGTGCACTGTTCCGACGGAAAGCTTTTTGAGGATGAGAACCCCGATGGAACAATTCCGTGCCTTACACTCTATTCGACCTCAATAATACAAAATCGAAGTATTTAAGACAAGTATTATCACTGAGTTCAACTGCAAGAGATCGGGGCCAAAGATATTATTTACTGATCTTAACTGGATAGCAACTAGATAAAAGATTGAGTATTAAAACTTCGCGGGAACCTATGACGAAAACATTTCAATAATCTATTTCAATTGTTTTTTTTTTTCAGTTGGAAATTTATTGTCGAAATATAAAATATTGTTGAAAAATCTGAACAAAAAACAGAGATCAATTTAAAATTCGAAAATAGGCCACGTCCCTATTAAACGGATATATAAACAGTAAAAATTTAATTAAAAGTTCCAAATAAAAAATAGAACAAAATTTCATCGTTGTTCAGGACAATGAATGAGACAAAATGATTTACATGCCAAAATTTTTAAATCAAAAAATCCACAGAAAAGTTTTCGGTGTAAAATTACTAAAGACAGCAGAGAATAAATATAACTATTTAACAATTTAAATTCAGAAAATAAACATCCTTTTCACTAAGGCATGCTAAACGAAATTTTGAAGGGTCGTTTGTACGTAAAGGTTTTATCGCTATAATTTGACTGTCGATTCTTCTAATAATTTCTGGACGTTTTCCAGCCCAATCAAATACAACCTAAAAATATCCATCAAATTAAACTGTGAGTATATACAAACTTTTTAAATTATTTCTCTATAACAATATTTATCATGATTTTGACCAATATTTTAAATATTTTGTTGTACAAAAGAAAAATAAAATCCAACTAGCTGAGATGTTTCTTCATCGTACACTGCAGATACTAATCCACTTTGCGTATTCCACAACGATCCAAAGATTATTCTACTTAAAACAGAGGAACGACTAAAATATGTCTTTTCCAACTGCACTTTACAATTACATTCATCGATTTCAAGCCGATATAATGAATGCCTAACAGTTGGATGAGACTCCGTTGGCGAAAATGAAATTAGAAAAGATAGCGTCTCATCATCAAATGCATATGAATTAATACAACCTGAAAATAAAATGAAACAATCTTGCCCCTACACCAATGCAACGATATAGTGGCATTAATGAGGGTTCTGATAGAGAATCAAATTGTACCTAGAATTTTCTTCGGCGTATCTTTCTAACAGTCAGTGGAGCACACCAAACCAAAAATAATATTTAAAAACAGTATCAAAAACAAAGTGTCCAATACAACAGAACCAGTTTTAGGCACAAATGCAAAATACAAATTCAACTATTCTAGCACCAGAAATTAAAAAAGCTCATTCAAAAAATACCAAATTAAAAATTTAAATCTAAAACTAAACGATAATTATAAACGATAAAAGAAAATTTCAAAATTACCACTTGGTAGCACATCCTACACATCCTTCATATATCCACAACAACATATCTAATATATCCTTCATTTAAAACTTATAAATCTGAACGGTACACCATACCTTGATTGATAATTAGAACATACTGCGTACAACTTCGATAAATTACACACTTTTTTAAAGTAACAACAAATAAAGCAGAAAATGCCGGCAATGAATGAAGGCCAAGAATAGGTACGCGAACAGATTCACTGGCGATGAAATTCGAATTTTCTGCCAAATTTTCAAGATTAAAGGAGATCAGCTGACCTTAATTAAGCAAGCATTACAATATTTAGTTTAAAAAATTAAAATAGACAATAATAGTTTAATTTATTGATTAAGGAATCAACAAGTAATTAAATTTACCATTTATGAGACCAGCAACAACGTTTGTTGAATTCATCCAGCAGCAACACCACCCCTTTGCTTGTAGTTCAAATTTATGTAGTATAATAGGATTATTTTCAAGCCTGCAAGAGCTTAATTAGAACAAATTTTCGCAAGTTTTGATAGAAGAGAACATGAAAAAGTATCATTTATTATAAGTTTAATTTACCTCGTTACACACAGCAATTTGTCTTCCCCAATTGTGAGTACCAAAGTACCATCGTATGGTGATATGGAACAACAACGTGGCTTCCTTGTGTGAATAGGGACGACTAGCTTAACTTGCATATCTTCGTCGATCTAAAAGCTTATGTCTGAATAAGGAAATAAAATTACCACTCAAATCCAAAATCACTTAACAAGTTGTTTAACCATTTCTATTGGCACATTAACCAAACTATTCCAAAAATTCCATTGCATTGGAAATTTAAATTTGATAAGGAAATTAAATTATTTAAAATATTATAAAATAAAAAATTATAAAATATCTTTTTTAGAAGGGTAAGATTATAAAAGAACGAAAAATAATTTAAAAAGTACCAATTTAACACCATATGGCATGAAGATATCTCTAGTCACGCGGCAAGTTACTACTAGTGAATTACTGCTTATATCCATTGATCTAGAACCGGCTTCTTCTGACAATTTAATATGTTTCATATCCAAAAAGTTAAAATAATTAGTAATTGAAGGAAAACCATTCTTCGATTCAGCAACTGCCCTGAAATATTCAAAATTATTGAAATATTTAAAAATCTTTGTACTTTGGATAGCCCGATTCTTGGATAAGATAATATTTGCTATATTGACGTAAAAATTTCCTTAAAACGTAAAATAATTAATTAAAAGTAACGCATAGACTAAAAAGTAATTTTTAAAAAGTTCTTAAAAAAGTAATTTTTAAAAATGTAGAAATGTATAAATTCTTTTTCGCGATGAATAAACAAAAAATTCTACAAAAAAACAAATAAATAGCCCTAAGATGGAAAGACGAACTTCATAGTTTCACACTTTTCCTCAAGTTTCTTTTTCAGTTTATAAATTTCCAATTTTAGACATTCATTTTCCGCTCTTATTGCATCGTTCATTTCTTTAACTCGTTCCAATTCTGTAGTATCTGCCATCTAAAAAAAAATCAACTTTCTTCAAAAAAATAAAAAAACTGACTGAAACACTAAAATGAACCTTGACAGTTGCAGCAAACACGCGTCGAATATCGCCAACTCGCGCTCGAGCTTTACATTGTGGACACTTTGCATTCTTTTCCGTACGTATCCATCGTCGAATACATGAAAATCCAAATAAGTGACCACATTTGAGAGAAACTAACCTAAAATAAAAAACAAATTGCAGGATTTTGCATTTCTTATTTTTCTTTTTCTTTCATGTTTTTTGGACTGTCTCTATGATACACAATTATATATAATTTACACGGAATTTAAGAAACTAATACTAACTTGCTTCACAAAACAAAAGGAACAAATGACAAAAAAAAACCAAAAAAAACAAAAAACCTATGTTCACCCGCATTGCCATAGACTTCAAAACAAATCGAACATAACATAGATTCACTTTCATCGGCAGAATATTCTAAAATAAAATTGAATACATGAAAATCCAAACTGCAAATTAAAAAAATAATGATAAATAAATAACAAAAAATCCTTGGATAAGAAATAATATTGAAAATCACTTCGAATAAATGAAAAAAACAAAAAGACTATTCGAAATGGTCGAAAAACATGTTAAATGATTTCAAACAAAGCTGATTTAAATTATTTTATTTTGATTATCAAATGATATTTTTGCACTTTATTAAACAAGTTTCTAAAATAAGGAATTATTATTAATAACAAACAAAATTTAAGCTGATGTTAAATCAAGTCAAATTTAAGTTCAATTCAAGTTCAATTTAGTCAATAAAAATTCAAATAAATGACCCAAATGAAGAAAATGCGAGAAATATCAATTTAATAGATAAATAAATAACATTTGATTACAATTTCGAAAGAACAGCATATTATAATTATTATAAAAATTCACCAGGTTCGTTGATTTCCACACGCTTTGAATTAACTTTCGTTTTGCTATTACTTTCTACTGTTCTGTTTTCCACATTATGCAATTGATCCTGTTGAAATTCGTGAAAATAATTATAAAAACAAAAAAATTTTGGTCAAGCACCTCCAAAAAAATCGATAATGGATAAGAATCAATAAAGACATAATTTTTTACGTTAAATTAATATAATTTAAAAAACTTATTGCTAAATTATTCAATTTAGAAATTTTGAACCACTTGTATAATTAAGAAAGGAAAGTTAATTTTTTCTCAATGAGATACAGTGGAATTGTCAAAGCAATTGGATTGATCTTAATCGCTGAAATAATTCTTTGGTCCTCATTTGATTATAATGTACCAATACAACTTACCAATATTACCAATATAACTTTTCCTATTCTATAATCTAATAATTCTTGACATTGCTGGTCCAAATAATACTACTAACAAAAATATATTAGCAACAGGAATCAAGCTAATATGAATCACATGAATCTTTATGGATAGAAAAAAGCGAAAGAATAATAGTAATCACATAAATCTATCGTAAATACATGAATATACGGATAAAATAAAGATAAACATTGACAAGCTTCTGACAACTGTTTCACGGATTTAAATTCACTTAAAATAAAAGGAACTTCTAATGAGAACGGTTGGTTAATATTTCTCATATGCAAATTGAAAATAAATAATAATAATGAAAACATAATAAAATGTGACGAAAAACCATCATCCGAAAAATATCCACATCGATTATCCACAACTTATCTACACAAATACACCCAAATAATATTCCATTCCATTCCAAAGCAACTATTTCAAATGATATATTTTCTATACAACCCTATGCCCTATGACCGGAATGAAGATAAATTCGATGCGGAACTTCAATTACTAACAAAGTCTCTACCGAAACATAATATGGTCATAGTCAGGAGATAATGGAATGCTAGGACATAATGCCGCTGCGATGACCTCTACAATTGGCAAATATGGCATCGGGGTCCAGTGCGGAGAACGCCTTCTTCGTTAGAAGTCGAAGAGCATGAATTTTTTGTTACTAATATTACTAATATTTGCTTCCAGCAATGTAGAAAATATCTAATCACGTGGAACTCTCCGGACAACCAATATTTCAACCAGATTGATTATATTTTAGTCGGAAGTCGCCGTTGGAAGAGTTCCGTACTAGATAGTCTTCCTATCGCGGCGCTGAAACGGGTCATCTTCATGGATATGACTATGTTATGGTTCGAGCCAAGATCCATATAAAATTGACAGCTCGCAGAAAATGGCATTCCCCAAAGAAAAAATTCGAGGACAATGAGCGCATTTGAAACCGAATTATTGAAGCAACTCAATGATATAAATATCAATAATTTTTCTGGAACGGCAAATGAATACTGGTCCAAACTAAAGGAATCAGCCACTTCCACACTAGGGCATATTAGTAGGAAGTGTGCCAGTTAGGTATCGGAAGCAATTTCCAACTGTCTGAAAAAGCCAAAGCATTAATGTCATATATCATAAATGTCATAAATACATATCATAAATGACTAACGGATGCTTCGAAGATTTGCAACGAAAACAGACGGAGGACGAGAAATCACTGTTGGAGTGTTATAGAGAATGGAGACGGCGGCTCGATTAGGAAATAATAGGAAACTGTTCCGCCTTCTTCATAAAGCAACTATAATTCGGGAACGATCAGTGGAATGGTAAGGGACAGCAATGGCGTGCCAGTCAAGAGTATTAAGGACTGTCTCATTAGATGGAAAGAATTCTTTAAGGCCAAACTTAACCATGAAGCGCCATCTGTTGCCCCTAATATAGCCGATACGTTTGCAGAAGCATACGATTTCAATTGCGAGCCTCCAACAGAAGAAGAAATAATTTCAGTTATCCATAAGCTTAAGGCCAACAAAATTCCAGAAGATGGTCTTCGGGCTGAGCTTTTCAAATGTTCTCCATCGCCCTTCATTCATAACACACCTTCAACAAATATACTCTCTGGTATGGAAAAAAGAAATATCACCAAATGATTGGAGCAAAATAATTCTGCTCCCAATTCTTAAAAAACATGATAGGACATATTGCGACAATTCTCCAGAAATCAGGCTACTAGATGTTTTAGCGAAAACTTTTGCTTCCTTATTACTCAACAAACCTATGGAAGTACGGGACAGCAAGATGCTACCTATTAAGCTGGGTTCATACCGGGGCATGGTTGTGTTGACCAGATATTCACGTTAAGAAGGGTGTTGGAACATCGCTTCAAATATATGCAATCAACTGTTACATGTTCATCGACTTTGCAGCTGCCTTTGATTTAACTAATAAAGAGGTGCTTTGGAGGGTGATGGAATGCGACGGTGTTTCAGAGAAGATCATTAGACTCATAAAGGCATTTTATCAGCGTACATTGGTCCGTGTATATGGGGCACTGATAGAACCCTTCGAAATAAGAACTGTCCGTCAAGGTTGTGTCCTTTCCCCCACAATATTCAACTATGCGATAGACTGGATAATGGGAACCGCTTGTTGGCATTCAAGAGGTGTCCAAATCAATCCAGAGCATCGTATCATAGATCTTGAATACGCTGATGATGTAGTCCGCTTTGCTGACAATTATGATGAAATGCAAATAATGCTAATTGACGCATCAGCAACTGCAGCGAGAATCGGACTCAGGGTCAACGTGAATAAAGCGAAAGCTTTTGCGTCTTAAGTGCAAGAAGTCGAAAAAATGCTTGAAAAGTTGAAAAATCTTTTTGTAAATTCATTGCCGGTTGAGGAAGATCCTATTCCAAAAGAAAAAAACTACCGATTTATAAAACCATTCAACAAATCTACTATCATTTTCACAATTTCGTAAAAAAATTTTAAAATACTGGGAGTTTTATGCTGAAATTATTGAAAGAAGCGGTTATTTACGAAACATTTCGCATGTATTCATCACTATCACGATCCATCGATGAATTAACCTAGTTTCCAGAACCACTGAAGCAAACTTTATATACGGACAGACAAACTTCATCGTATCGAAGCTCACTGTGCCATAAATAATTTGAAAAACAAAAATTATATTTTCGATATCGACTTAAATGTCCGTAATATTTGCTCAATAAGAATTTGTCAATTACTTGATCAGATCTGAAAGGTGAAACCCACGTGGCTCCTTCTAACCCCGTCAAAGCCCTAGCTGCCGAGATCCTAGACGAACAGCTCAAAATATAGCAGTCAAGTTATTGCTTTTAAAAGAAGAAGCTTCTAGTGCTGCATCAAATATTTTAAAAGAATCAAAATTCAAAGCAATAAAAAGGAAACTTCATCAATAACGATTAAATCGACTTCACTCTGCGTCAGCTGTGAACTTGCATCATCCAAAACTGCTCGTCGACGTCGTCTTCGATTGCTTAACGATCGTATAGCTTCATCTTCCATACTGAAAATGAATTTTAGTTTACGCTTTCTTACTTTGTAAACCTTATTCATTTTATTTAACTCGATTTTTTTAATTTTTCACATTAATCAATAAGAAATGATTTTAATTCAGTTGTAACAGCAACAGAATTTAATAAAATTTATCACTGTTATTTCCCTTTGTTTCCTTTAAAAACATTTTATGAACATGGAACAAATTTTTGTGATTGTACAGTGAGTGGTTTCTAATGCCTGACAATTTGGCGCCGGATCGGACTTGGACATGCCTTACAGCTAGTCAGTCAGCCAGCCAGCTTGGCAGCCAGCCAAGTACTAACAGGCAGACTGACCAATAATGATGCGAGGTTGGAAGAAGCATGGAAGAACGGAATAAATGTCATGTGTAAAATAAAATTTATCGAAAGAAAATAAATGGGAATTCCAAGGTGAAAAAAATTTTATGAATTTTAAATTCTATTAATTCTCTTATAAAATTCAAACTTTCGTTTTTTCCTTTCCATTTTAAATAATTAAACCAACCAACTTATTGAAAATGTTTTTCACAAAGACAATTAATTAAACCAACAAACCAATTTGCTTCAACTCATAACAAAAATATAAATAAAAAATATTTAAAAATTTTTCGGTAAAAACAAAATTGAAAATTGGTCTCATGGACAAAACTTTATTAAAAAGTCGGCTGCCGAGCTATTCGAATATTAGTACTTATTCAAGAAAGGGCGCGAATTGATTTGGTGAATTATATGAAGTCCTTTCGGTTAGAACGGTGCTTGTCGGTGAAACGTAGGTGAATCTTGCGATGTGCATGTTTCGACATTTTGCTGTGGGTGCCTTTATCTTTGAAAGTTTGTAAACGACAATATTGGTTCTTCACTTAATTTCTAATTCATTTCATTATGTCATCATGATTCTTTTTTTTTCTTTTTTTATAGGGACATATGGGATTAATTATACGATCTTTTTTAAAGGCTGAATAACTTCTAAAGTGATGAACAGACGTAACTATCATAATAAAAGAGTGATTTTAATGAGTGTGGAAGGGTGCATGCAGAAAAGGCCAGCGTATATTCTTTATCAAACCGCTCTATACATCGTTCAGAGATGCCTGCGTACTCCATTATGTGTCCTTGGTAACCTCTGAAATATCTTAGTGGCTGAAATAATCCACTGAAGTTGAGATAAAATAGTGGCGGTGGCTTTAAAACATTCTCAAACGCCATTGTTCTTCGGAAACACTCCACAGATCTCCTTATGTCCTCTTATCACCGCTTGAACAAATTCTTGACATCTCTCTTCATTATACCTCGATTCAGCACTTCACCGCAAGCTCATCGCCCTTATATAGCATCAAATCTCGAAATATACTCTTAATATCTCTCATATCCAGTCAAATTTCGTTATGAATGAATGAATGTACCAGCATACAGATTGGCATTTATCAAGTTCGAATCGTTTTAATGAAACATTTGTCATTTCTGAAATTCTGTCCTAAAAAAAGACGTGGTTCGTTGAAGAATTTCAGGTGACTGGAGTGAATACAAAATAAAAAGATGAGTTGGATGAATAGGGAAAGTTCACGTCATGCTGGAAGCCATCTGTATTTCCATGCCCAAGTTGTTTGATGAAAACGTTTCATTATAATAACCGACGAAGGCATTAAAAATCATGAATACGATTAGAAGAAAAAAAATGGAATTATAGTATTATAAATCAAAAAAAAGCTATAAAACAAGAACATAGTGAATAAAAGGACGATAAGCGAAACGATTGCGACTGGTCTCAGCCATAAACACTCAGTTACTTACATATAGTCGCTAATTCCATTCCCATTGTCGAAATTGCTTGCATTTGAGAATTTCGCTTAATTCTTGGCTTTGCCAAGTTATATTTAGCAATACTGCATTAAATAAATGAAGAATAGTGGATTGTATGGCCATAAATGGATGGGAAAGGGAAAAATATATAAAATTATGCACAAAATGTAAGTCTGATTTAAAAAAAAAAATTAAGCTTCGCTCACAGTGTTTATAAATGGTTTAACTTGTCAAGCAATATTTTCTTTAACAATAATTATGCAAAATAAATGGAGCTTTTTGTTCCCATTCTGCAAATTTTCCAGCCAAGTCTAAGGAAATCAAAGGAAATACAAGTGAAATACCATTAAAAAGTATAATCGCATTTGACCCATTTCATTATAAAAATTGCGTAAGTTCACTAAAAAAAAATT